GATTGATTTAACAATTCTAATGTTTGGTTTATTACGGGTAATTGAGTTGCGGCGCTAACTTGGGATCCTGAGCTTGATTGTTATGCTTTGGGTTCGCTATCAAATGACATGGAACCTTAAAAAATAATAGTGAAACATATAGCTACTAGAAATGTATTCAAGTACCGTATAAATAATTAAAAAAACTTACGGAATGATAAGGATAATGGGAGATCCGTGGCAGTTGTATTACTATCATTATCAGCCTGATCATTTTTGTCATTATTGTCACTATAGTTGTCTTCACGGTCACTTACATCAGCACTAGGATCATTACGAGCATTTGTTTGTTGCTTCACTAACTCTGAAGCTTTTTTTCGACATGAACTGCATAATAAATAATTATCATCTAATCCTAACGTTACTTTCGTAATATCAGTCGCCGGACGTAAACCAATTTTTTTAAAATGAGATTCCAACTCAAAAGGATTACAACACCGATCAAATACCTTTTTTGACGCCATAAAGACAAATTAAAAAAGCGCTTATAAACTAGAGAAATTATTTATTTATACAACAAATGTAATGACGATCTTTTATAAAACACTAGATTGCACAAAAGATTTATAGGTTATGTTTTAGATCTCAAAATGAAAAAGCCGCACTTTTAATCAAAACATACTAGCTTATAGCATCTAGTTTACTGGCTATAGGTAAGTCGATAATTGTTATCCCTAGTTTATCGATCTAATTGATATATTAAAATTTGAATCTTACTAATTACAGTCATCGATGAAGCCTCTAAATTGTGAATGTAATGCCGTAAAATCGTTGAATTGACTTTATGTCATTATATAAATAAAATTTATGAAAAAAGATTTTTTTTCCATTTTTGAAAATTTTAACAATTTTTTTTCAATTGAATAAAAAAATAGAAAGAGAAATCGGCCCAATCTGGGTTCTACAGGGATAACTGTGGAATTGCTTAAAGTTTATTTTAGAAAAAAAAAATTTAAAAAAAAAAATGTCGAACTTCGAAAAAGCATTGATTTTTGTCAAAAAACTGAAAAATTCCATATGTATTGACTTACAAAAATTTTTTAATATTTTTTATCGGAAAGTACATCTAAAAACAAAAATTTTGAAAAAAAAAAGGTACCTAAATGTTTAGTTTTGAAAAAGTTATGGCTATTTGAAAATAAAAAAGCCATTTTTTTGAAAAATTCATAACTTTTTTGGAGTTAGGTAAAAAAATTCAAAAAAATTCTGAGAACCGTTTTTTATAGGGTAGAAAAGGATGGAAAACTTTCGGCCAAATCGAAAAGGGTCGGGGTCAAAAGTGGTCGATTTGGCATGGAATACCCCATATATAATAACAATACTAATAATAATAATATTAGACTTGTGAACTATAAATAAATAAAATTTTGCTTTATTAAATCATGAATTTTGTTAAATTGCACTGTACTTTTTTAACTATTGACGTTTTTTAAGATATAAGCTCATCCCGATGTTACACTCATCAAGAGCTTTCATTTGAGTACCTACATGCATTTTTATATATATTTTATATTTATATATACATATATAATATATATAAATATATGAAAAATTGATGTGGGTACTTAAATGAAAGGTCTTGATGAGTGTAACATCGGGATGAGCTTATATCTTTAAAAATATCAATAGTTTACAAAATGGCAAAGTCAGTTCTTAATTATTGACATTTTTTAAAATATAAGTTCATCCCGATGTTACACTCATCAAGAGCTTTCATTTGAGTACCTACATGCATTTTGATATATTTTTCATATGTTCATATATATAATATATATAAATATATGAAAAATTGATGTGGGTACTCAAATGAAAGGTCTTAATGAGTGTAACATCGGGATGAGCTTATATCTTTAAAAATGTCAATAGTTCACGAGATACAGGGTCATTTCTTAATTATGTGTCTAGAGATAGAGCATTTTCGAATGTACACAGAAAAAAAAATGTTCTTGAATCAAGTACATATTTTTGAAAAGCTCAATATTTTTGGTTTAAGTTGAAAAATTCTTGATTTAAGAAAATTTTTCTTAATTTAAGGAAATTTTACTTAATTCAATAATTTTTCGTCTTGATTCAAGACAATTACCATCTTCAAAATTATATTCTTGGTTCAAGAATTTTTCTCTTGAATCAAGTTAATTTTTTTTTCTGTGTAGCCTAAATACTTATCATCATAAATTGATTATTGGTGAGAATGGTATGAAACCATGAAAAGGCACAACTCCAGGTCAAGACTTTTCCAACGATACCAAATTTAACCATAAAAACCCATTTTATCATATAAATACACTGACCACAAAATTTTGCGCGAAATTTATTGTTTACAAAATTTTGTGACCAAAAAATGAATTCACAATTTTTTTCATGTATTCTAAACAAAATGTATCTCGACTGTAGCAAAAAAAATTAATAGTTCAATTAAGGCACTTGCAATAAACGATAAACTTGTGAGTTACGACCACAAAAGGTTAACGATTTATTAATCTGCGTAAAAAAGTATTGAAAAAAACATTATGTTAAAAGGCAACGTGTTTCATCATCAACCGAAAAGAAGTCGACGACTTGCACACAGTACTCGATCCGTACTTTGACAAACTGGTCCAATCCCCAAAAATGTCAAATTTGGTCCTGAGTAACGTCAGGACTTTCAGACGCTGGCCAATATTCATCACCGTCTTTGTCACAATTGTGTGCCTTTCCTACGCGATTAATCCAATATTATCGATTATACATCAATTGCGACACCGCGAATGGCCTATCAAGTACAACCTGATTTTTCTGACGGTTTATCCGATTAAAGCTCGCCGTAATAGTTTACTCTACAACTTTTACTTCGTTGACGAGTATTTACTAACAGCCAGCATGATATTTATCACCTCGAGCCTGGACTCGCTTTTCACTTACTACATTTTTCAATTGATTGGAATGTTAAGGGAAATATCGTACCATATTTCGAGGGTAGATGAAAAAAATAGCGAAATAATTATACGACGGTGCGTTGACAAGTATGAGATATTGTTACGAGCTTGTGGCCAAGTTCAAAAAATTTATGGACCAATAATATTGTGGACGATGAATGTTAACGCAGTTGTACTCTGCGCGGCCATTTTTCAACTTTCGCATGTGAGTTGATACAAAACAAATATGTTTTTTAATTTTTTTTTTGTACTAAAAATTTTATTTTTACGAATATAAATGATACTCTAGGCAAAAACGATACCTGTTGTCTCACTGATATTGTTTTCCGCGCATGCTTCTCTAAAATTGATACAAGTTTATGTGTTTGCTTGGTCTGGAACACAGCTCACTATCGAGGTAACCGAATATATATTGATATTATTATTGATAATTATAAATTTATCAAAATATTCTGAAGGATTTTCTTAGAAAAAATAATATCATTAGAGTGAAAAATTTCGAGATTGCATCTACGCCGCTAATTGGACAGGAAATATGCGGCTGAAAGCTTCTATAATTATTATGTTGGCACAAAAACCCCTCATTTTGACAGCGTGTAACATACTGAATGTGACAATTGACATGTTTGTGAAAGTAAGTACTTATTTAAAATAATTGTAAAGTGTTTTAGAAATTAAAAATTAAAAATTATTTTTATTTTTACTATTTAATTTTTTACTTTACAGGTCATCAACACCTCAGTTTCTTGCTTTTTATTACTGAAAACTTTTGAGTAAAAATCTTTAATAAGATTCAAAAAAGCACCTTGTTATTTTACACTTTAAATTACTAATTAACAATGACGAAATAATTATTGATATATTGTACAAAATATAATATATTATTGTAAAAACTAATTTTTTAATAAATTAATTTTTGTAGTTGTCCCAGAAAATTTCAACAGAATAACACGTACAATTTTATATTGCAACGATCTGTTCAGGTAAAAAGTTGCAACAAGACTGAGCTCCCCACTACAGTATACGCAATTAAAAATCAATATAAAAACTATTATTGCAATCAACAGTCACATTCGTTGAAGCATTTTATTTTAAACGGGCTATTAAGTTAGCAACCGCTCGTTTTATTTTTCACATAAACTGGCTTCGCTTTAAAACGATTAGTTTTCTTCGTATTTTTAAAATGATACTTTAAATTGGTCTTTAGACTAAACATTGTCGATTATTACTTTTCTTACCCATCAAAAATATGATCGCTGAAAAGTTAGAATACGTACAATTTCAAAATATTATCGTACGACTCCTCTCAATTGTCGGATTGTGGACAAAACAAAATTCAAGTTTACTATCTCGATTGCGAATTCATATTTATCTTACGTTCCTTGTCGTTCCAACTTTTGGAACGATCAATTATTTAGTTGCCAATATTTCAAACATAAATTTAGCCATTAATAGTTTATGTTCACTTCTGGCTTTCTCTACAGTAATAATAAAAGTGTGTCATCAAAAAATGATAAGCAATGAAAAAATTAATTGCAATTTTTTTTTATTAATTACTTATTCAAATATTAAAAAAAAAAAATTTTTTTTACAAGGGAATGTCTTTTATAATAAATCGCAAAGACGTAGATGAGCTACATACAATTTTGGATCCTTATTTTTACGAATTGATGAAAAATCCCGAAATGTCAAAACAGGTTTTGAATAAAATCTCAACTTTTAGACGTTTGCCGAAACTGATCACGGCTATGCTGATGACCGGCAGCATTTCTTATGCGATTGGACCGATAGTTTCTATAATACACCAAATTCGTCATAAATTGTATCCTATAGATTTCAATTTTATTTATCTCACTTTGTATCCGTGGGAAATCCCGAGAAATTCTTTAATCCACTTTTTACACTTTATCAACGAATATTTATCGACCAGTACCATTGTTCTCATCTCACCCGCAGTGGACAGTTTGTACACCTATTACATGTTTCAAACGATCGGCATTTTGCGGGAAATGTCGTATCGTATTTCCATGTTTGATGAAAAAAATTGTGATTTTGAAATACGCGAGTGCGTTAATAAGTATGAAATACTAGTACGATGTATGAAAAAAATTCAAAAAGTATATGGAGCTATCATTTTATGGACCATGAATACCAATGCGATCGTACTTTGTATCGTAATGTATCAATTGTCGCACGTAAGTTACCTATACTGTAATTGTACGGTACCGCGACAAAATATCCTCCGATATACAGTAGCGCTCAAAAGTATTTTGACAAAATTATGCGTTAATTTTTTTTCAACAATGTCAAAATACTTTTGAGCAACCATTTTCCTAATATTTTAAAAATTAAACTTTCTTTTGTTACAAACAAGGACCACTTTGACAATATTCTGTAGATTATTCAAAAGCTGTTAAAAAAATAAATAAATGATTATTGTGTTTTATATTTATTTTTATTATTGTGTTTTACATTTATATTTATTATTAATTAAACTATTAAATACATTTATCAAAATACTTTTGAGCGCTACTGTAATGTGCTCGGTGTTAGTCTACTTTCGAATAAATACACACAAAATCCATGATAAAAGGGCACAACACGGTCCGAAGCTTATGTGTTATGTGTGCACAGAAAAAAAAATTAACTTGAATCAAGTAAATAATTTTAAAGAATTTCATTTTCTTGATTTGAGTAGAAAAATTCTTAAACTAAGAAATTTTTCTTGGTTAAAGTAAATTTTACTTAATTTAAGAATTTTTCAAGTAAATAATTTTAAAGAATTTCATTTTCTTGATTTGAGTAGAAAAATTCTTAAACTAAGAAATTTTTCTTGGTTAAAGTAAATTTTACTTAATTTAAGAATTTTTCGTCTTGATCTAAGACAATGAAACTCTTCAAAATTATTTTCTTGGTTTAAGAATTTTTCTCTTGATTCAAATTAATTTTTTTTTGTGTGATATTTTGTCTGAAGGAGATTTTGTCGTGGAATATTTTGTCGCGGAATCGTAATTGTACATCATGCAGCATATTTTCAAATTGTCTAAATTTTCAGGCTAAGTCGATTCCTTTTTTTGCATTGAGCCTTTGCGTAGCGTATGTTTGTTTAAAATTAACCCAAGTCTTCATTTATGCTTGGAGTGGGTCTCTCCTCACAACCGAGGTAATTTTTGTTCAAAAAAACAAATTACTAAGTCGCAAAATTAATGTTATTGCTACTTTTTAGAGTGAAAGATTTCGAGAGACTATTTACGCATCACGGTGGCTTGGAAATACTCGATTGAAGGCTTCAATAATAATAATGCTCTGTCAAAGGCCCCTCATTTTGACTGTGTATAATTTATTGTATGTGACGATAGATATGTTCATGAAAGTAAGTAATAATAATAGTATTTTTGATATCACTTGTAAAAAATAAACTAAATCTTTTGCAAAGAATTTTTATAGTCATAAAAAATTTTAACTCACGTCAAATCACAATACAAAAGTTTTTAGTAATTAAGTTGACGGAAACGAAACTTTTTGTACCGTGAGTTTTGAACTCTTATGATCAATAGCGTATGCTCTAACCATCAACGTAATTACTTATAGCAAGTTATATCAAAATGTTTTTAAAAATTAATTTAAATATATTTTTAACCATTTGAATTTTTTAAAACAGGTTGTTAACACGACAATATCATATTATTTATTACTAAAAACATTTGAACAAGGAGCTTGACAGAATCACATTGTTATTATTTCTCGCAACCGTAAATCATTAGTTTTAGGATATTATTATTGTTGAGCAAGTAAAATAAAAACTGATTCATAGTAAATGCTTTTGATTTTTTTATAAACTACAAAATTATTACTCATAGAAAAAATTATCACTTACTTTCAGCATAAAACACATAAATGATTTTTCTTTAATTTTGTCTACACAGGAAAAAAAAGGTTTTTGAAGCAAGTATATAATTTTGAAGAACTTAACCCGCATGGAGAAATATATATGTCAAAAATATATGTCGCATATATAATATATATGCCGCATATATTTACGCAAAAAAAAAAAATATGTCAACATATATTTTTCACATAGATGCTGACATATATGCTTACATATATGTAGACATATATGTAGACATATGTAAGCATACACTGAAAAAAAATTTCTAAGTTTGAGAATTTTTTTACTCAAATCAAGAAAGTTAAATTTTGAAAAATTTAACTTTCTCGATTCAAGTTAAGTTTTTTTCCGTGTATCTCTAGACACTTATATGCGCACATATATGTAAACATATATGCACGCATATATGTGAACATATATCTACGCATATATGTGAACATATATGCGGACATATATTTAGCGCAAAAAAAATATATGTGAAAATATATATTTGCATATATTTTTCGCATATATATTTTTCCATGCGGGTAATCCTCTTGATTTGAGTAGAAAAATTCTTGAACTCATAAATGTTTTTTGATTTAAGGAAATTTTACTTAATTCAAGAATTTTTCGTCTTGATTTAAGACAATTATCCTCTTCAAAATTATTTTCTCGGTTCAAGAATTTTTTTTCTCGAATCAAGTTAATTTTTTTTTCAGTGTACGCTTATAAGAATCAGAGGAACTTAAAAAAATACGATCTGCTCAGCTAGAAAGTTGTATCAAGAATCAAGACTGACCTCCCCACTACAAAAAATGGAATGAAAAATCAATGCAAAGACGATTGTCGCAGTCAGTATAAAAACTATTATTCCAATTAACAGTTACATTCGTCGAACTGATTAATGTTAAATGGATGATTAAGTTAGCCGTCTCTTCTTTCTGTAAAACTGGCTACACAAGTCCCTATCTTCGATGACAATTAGTTTCCTCGATATCTTTAAAGTTATACTTCAAATTGGTCTGTAAGCTATACATTCTTGACTGCCAACTCTTCTTTCATATTCAAAAATATGATCGCTGAAAAGTTGGAATATGTCAAATTTCAAAACATTATCAAACGAATGCTCTTCATCGTCGGTTTGTGGACAGAAAAGGATTCGAGTTTGTTGTTTCGATCGATACTTCATATTTACCTATTTATTTTATTGTCCCAACTTTCGGGACGATATATTTTTTTTTTTCCAACATTACGAATATAAATTTAGCAACTAGAACATTGATCACTATGCTGGGTTTCTCCACAGTAATCATAAAAGTGTGTTTTAAAAAAATCATTTTTTTTCTTTTTTTTCGATTACATAAACAAGAAATTTTGAATTGTTTTTTGTTACAAGGGATTGTGTTTTGTAATATATCGCCACGAAGTCGACGAGCTGCACACGATTTTGGAGCCATATTTTGAGGAATTGTTGAAAACTCCCGAAATGACAATGCAAGTTTTGAAGAAAATCTCAACTTTCAGACGCTTACCGACAATAATCATGACAATAGTCACCACCGGCATGATTTCTTATGCGATTGTTCGCAAAAATAAAAAATTGCAGATAGTATTATTTTGAGAAAATAATTTTTTTACTAATTTATATAGAGTGAAAAATTTCGAGAAGCCATTTACGCATCACGGTGGGTCGGTAATACACGATTAAAGTCTTCAATAATAATAATGCTTTCCCAAAAGCCCCTCATTTTAACTGCGTGTAATTTGTTGTATGTCACAATAGACATGTTCGTAAAAGTGAGTATACTTTTGATAATTGAATGTAATTTAATTATGAAAAAAAAAATGACAAATTGGTATTTTTTTACTAAAGGTTGCAAACACGACTATATCTTATTATTTATTATTAAAAACATTCGAATAAGGAGATTAAACACAGTCACACGGTTATTTTCACTCATAACCAAAAATTATTAGTTATTAATAGTCATAGCTGCACACTGTTAAAAATTTCTATTGTAATTTTACAAGAAATGTATTGGAAGCTAATAGGCAAAACATTTATTTAAAATTACAATAGGGTATAGTAAAATTACAAAACATATATAGCTCAGTGAGGTTACTAATTTTACAAAACGGTTTTGTAATTTTACAAATATTTTTAGATTAGCTAAGTTTGTAAAATTATAATACTTTCCTTGAATTTTACTTGAATTGAAATAATAAAAAAGAATGATTTGATTTAATATCTGTTGTCATTTTTTTGTTATGAAGCGCTGACTAGATTTGGTATCTCACGTAGACCTAATTTGTTCAACTCAGATGATTTAAAGTGAAAATAATATATACCCTAACTAAGAACCGAACCCGAGCCGCGCGCTTGCCAGACCGATACCTAACGCCCTACGCCGTACGACCGATAGGTGATTCAACATCTTATTATTCTTATAAGCTAATCCTATGTGGTGATTGAGCATTACGGCTTATTATTTATAATTTACATTAATTGTGTTATTTTATGCTGTTTATTGATGGAAAAGTCTAACATATACTCATTCAAATATATTGATTTCAAAATGATCGTTTGAGCATAATATTAAAATTTATAAAAGATAAATTATGCCTCGAATTTATTATTACAAATAAACAACCATAGACTAAAAATTAGTAAAAATAAATATGAAGGACATTGTTGTTTTTTTATACATCAGTCTCATTTTTGTAAAATTGAAAAGTATTATTTTCAAAATTAGAAAACAGTGAAGTAGAATTACAATTCGTGTAATATAAATAAAATTTTCTGGTAACATTACATTGCACTGCGTAATTTTACAATGAAGATTTTAAAAATAAAAAAAAGCTTTTTAAATTTTTTATGTGATTATTGTAATATAAATTACAATATTTTTTAATGATTTTACATACAATTATGCTGAATCAAATTACAAATAATGTTTGCAAAATTAAAAAGCTTTTTCTTGAAAATTGACGAACAGTTCTGTAATATTACAATGCGTGTTAGGTTTATACAAGGAGATTGTAAAATTACAATACATCTTAGTAGATTTCCTGATAGGTGTTGGAAAATTACATGAATTGTATTTTATTTAGCATTGCTATACACTGATTTGTAATTTTACATATCATTTGTTTTGTAATATGATTGTAATTTTACAAAAATTTTTAACAGTGTGCTAAGTAGAAAAAAATAAAATTATTTCACTAAGAATAAAAATAAAAAAAATTGGTTTTTTTGAATTTTCCAACAGAAAATTATTTTTTTTTAAGTATCAAAATCATTTCAGTGAAATGTCGAGACATTTTGTGAGTATGATAATTAAAAATCACTTACAGGTAATGTACAAAAATTTATCAATCACTAAGAAATATTTTGTGATGTAAGTATGATTAACAGAGAAACTTTGAACTCCAAAAATTTTTCCACAGCTCACTACTTATCGAAACTCTTAGCAATTTTGTATGGAAGCGATCTGCTTCGGTCAAAAGTTGCGTCAAGACTGGCGTCTCTCCACAATAACAAAAAGATCAATATAAAAACAATTATTACAACTATGCTACAATCGACATTCGTATTTTCCAAAGCTTTCAATATTAAACGTCGGTTATTAAGGTTGCAACGTCTATTTTTTTTCTTGTATATACGCTTAACGACAACGTAGTTTTCTCCGTATCTTTCAAATGTTGTTTTTAATTGGTCTCTGAACTATACATTCTTGATTACCATACTTTCCTTCCACGCTCGAAAAAATGATCGCAGAAAGGTTGGAATATGTCAAATTTCAAACTGTCATCAAACGACTGCTCTTCATTGTCGGTTTATGGACAAAATATGACTCGAGTTTATTATTCCGATCACTGATTCATATTTATGTGTCTCTCTTTATTGTTCCAACAATCGGCGTGATTAATTTTTTTCTTACTAATATAACAAACATTAATCTCGCTACCAGAAGTTTGAGTACACTTCTGGGCTTCTCGACAGTAATAATAAAAGTGTGTTTCAATAATTATTTTCTTTAAATTACATCCATCAATATTGTTGAATTTATTTTCTGTTACAAGGGAATATGTTTTATAATTAATCGCCGCGAAGTCGACGAGCTGCACAAGATTTTGGAGCCATATTTTAACGAATTGTTGAAAACTCCCGAAATGTCAACGCAGGTTTTGAACAAAATCTCAACTTTCAGACGCCTGCCGACAATAATCATGACAATAGTCACCACCGGTTGCATTTCTTATGCGATTGTTCCGATAATTTCGATCATACAACAGTATCGTCAAAAAACTTATCCGATCAATTATAATCTCATCTATCAAACTGTGTATCCGTGGGAGGTTCCGAAAAATTCGGCGATCCACTTTATCCACTTTATCGACGAATATTTACTGACTGTTGCCATTGTTCTAATCACATCTGCGGTGGACAGTTTGTACACGTATTACATGTTCCAAATGATCGGTATTTTGCGAGAAATATCGTATCGTATTTCAATGTTCGATGAGAAAAATTGTGAGTTTGAAATACGCGAATGCGTTAATAAATATGAAATTCTAGTACGATGTACGAAAAAAATACAAAAAGTGTATGGAGTGATTATTTTATGGACCATGAATGTCAATGCGATCGTACTTTGCACTGTTATTTACCAACTTTCAAATGTAAGTAATCAATAAGTATCGATTGATTGAAGATTAATCAAAAAAAAGTTCAGAACAATTTCTATTTACTGAAAATTCTTTTAAGTTTCTTGTTTTTATTTTAAAATATATACTTTTATAGGCCAAATCAATACCGTTTTTTACGTTGCTCCTCTGCGTGGCGTACACTGGCTTGAAATTAACTCAAGTTTTTATATACGCCTGGTCTGGAAATCTTCTTACAATCGAGGTAATATTTTTGTTATCCAAAAATAAAAAATTGCAGATAGTATTATTTTGAGAAAATAATTTTTTTACTAATTTATATAGAGTGAAAAATTTCGAGAAGCCATTTACGCATCACGGTGGCTCGGTAATACCCGACTAAAGTCTTCAATAATAATAATGCTTTCCCAAAAGCCCCTCATTTTAACTGCGTGTAATTTGTTGTATGTCACAATAAACATGTTCGTAAAAGTGAGTATACTGTTGATAATTGAATGTGATTTAATTATGAAAAAAAAATGATAAATTGATATTTTTTTACTAAAGGTTGGAAACACAACTATATCTTATTATTTATTATTAAAAACATTCGAACAAGGAGATTAAACACAGTCACATGGTTATTTTCACTCGTAACCAAAAATTATTAATTATAAATAATCATAACTGCTGAGTAAAAAAAATAAAATTTTTTCATTGAGAATAAAAATTAAAAAAATTGAAATTTTTGAATTTTCCAACAGACAATTATTTTTTTTTAAATATCAAAATCATTTCAGTGAAATATCGAGACATTTTGTGAATAAGATAAATAAAAATCACTTACAGGTAATGTACAAAAATTCATCAATCACTAAGAAATATTTTATGGTGTAAGTATGATTAACAGAGAGACTTTGAACCCCAAAAATTTTTCAACAGCCCACTACTTATCGAGACCCTCAGCAACTTTGTATGGAAGCGATCTGCTTCGGTCAAAAGTTGCGTAAAGACTGGCGTCTCGCTACAATGTATAAAATAAGGATCAATATAAAAACAATTATTGCAACTATGTCGCAATCGACAGTCGTATTTTCCAAAGCTTTCAATATTAAACGGCGGTTATTAAGGTTGCAACGTCTAATATTTTTTTCTGTATATGTACGCTTAACGACAACGTAGTTTTCTCCATATCTTTCAAATGTTGTTTTTAATTGGCCTCTGAACTATACATACACTCTTGATTACCATACTTTCCTTCCAGGCTTGAAAAAATGATCGCAGAAAGATTGGAATATGTCAAATTTCAAACTGTCATAAAACGACTGCTCTTCATTGTCGGTTTGTGGACAAAAGATGACTCGAGTATATTATTCCGATCATTGTTTCACATTTATCTATCTTTCTTTATTGTTCCAACAATCGGCGTGATTAATTTTTTTCTTACTAATATAACAAACATTAATCTCGCTACCAAAAGTTTGAGTACACTTCTGGGCTTCTCGACAGTAATAATAAAAGTGTGTTTCAAAAATTATTTTCTTTAAATTACATCCATCAATATTGTTGAATTTATTTTCTGTTACAAGGGAATATGTTTTATTATAAATCGCAACGACGTCGACGAACTTCACGCGATTTTGGATCCGTATTTCGACGAATTGTTAAAAACGCCAGAACTTTCCAAGATAGTTTTGAAAAAAATCTCAACTTTTAGGCGCTTGCCGACATTTATCACTACTTTTATAACCGTCGTCTGTATTTCTTACGCAATTGTACCGATAATTTCTATCCTGGCTCAAATTCGTCACAAAATTTGGCCAATAAATTACAACCTCATTTATCTCACTGCGTACCCTTGGGAAGTTCCAAAACACAGTTTTATGTACAGTATTCATTTTATTGACGAGTATCTACTGACAATCGCCATTGTTCTTATTACTTCCAGCGCCGACAGTTTGTATACTTATTATATATTTCAAATAATAGGCATGTTAAGAGAAATATCGTATCAAATTTCTACATTTGATGAAAAAAGTAGTGAATTTATTATACGCCAATGCGTTAATAAGTATGAAATATTAGTACATTGTACGGAAAAAATAGAAAAAGTTTACGGAGTTATTATTTTATGGACCATGAATGTCAATGCCATTGTCCTTTGCGCGGTTATTTTCCAACTTTCTCACGTAAGTTATTTTATTTTTTAAATAAATTAAAATTTCTAAAAATTTAATATTATTTAACACTTGACCAATAAATTATTTTTTAATTATAATAATTTATTTGAAAGCAAAATATGACTTTTCAAAGTTTATAAATTTTTTTAAAGCAAAATTTACAAATAAAAAAAAATTTTAATAAATAATTTTATAGGCTAAATCAATTCCCTTTGTTTCAATGGTTCTTTTCGTGGCGCACGCTGGCTTGAAATTAACCCAAGTATTTATATTCGCTTGGGGCGGATCACTCCTCACTACCGAGGTAAAAATAATTCCTTAAAACAATTAAAAGCACATATTTATAAGTTGTAAAATTACTCTTAAAACTAGAGTGAAAAATTTCGAGACACCATTTACGCATCACGATGGCTTGGAAACAACCGATTAAAGTCTTCAATAATAATAATGCTGTCCCAAAAACCCCTCATCTTAACTGCATGTAGTTTATTAAATGTCACGATAGACATGTTTGTTAAAGTAAGTATTCAAATATGACTTTATTTTCAAAATTAAATAATAAATTTTTGGTTTTTTTTTTATTACAGGTCGGAAACACGACGATATCATATTATTTGTTGTTAAAAACATTTGAACAGGGCGCTTAAGAATCACATTGTTATTTTCACTCACAATAAGATTAGTTATGAATAATTATAACTGTTGAGTAAAAAAATTTTTGAATAAAAATTTGAGTAAAAATTTTTTTTTTAAGAACAAAAATAAAATTTGGAATTTTTAAGTTTTCCAACACATTGAAAAAAAAAATAATTCAATTCGAGAGAAAAATTTTTGAACCAAGAAAATAATTTTGAAGAGGGTAATTGTATTGAATCAAGAAGAAAAATTTCTTTAAATCAAGAAAAATTTATTAGTTCAAGAATTTTTCTACTCAAATCAAGAAAATTAAGTTCTTCAAAATTATATACTTGATTTAAGAACATTTTTTTTCTGTGCAGAAAATTATTTTTTTTTTAATATCAAAATCATTTCAATGAAATATCGAGACATTTTGTGAGTATGATAAATAAAAATCACTTATAGGTAATGTACAAAAATTCATCAATCACTAAGAAATATTTCGTGTTGTAAGTATGATTAACAGAGAGACTTTGAACTCCAAAAATTTTTCAACAGCCCACTACTTATCAAGACCCTCAGCTACTATGTATAGAAGCGAGCTATTTCGGTCAAAAGTTGCGTAAAGACTGGCGTCTCGCTACAATGTATGAAAAAAGGATGTAATACATTACATTACAATGTAATGTAATTTATTAACTGGCTATAGGACAATGTCCCCTAGTAGCCAAAAGATACATAAAGTATTACAGAGTGTGTGAGAAATTTAAGTAATAGTATATAATATAAAAAGTAGTAGATAATGAGATATACATATATATGGGGCATTCCACGCCAAATCAACCACTTTTGACCCTGACCCCTTTTGATTTGGCTGAAAGTTTACCATCCTTTTCTACCCTATCAAAAACGTCTCTCATAATTTTTTCAAATTTTTTTACCCAACCAAAAAAAAGTTCCAAATTTTTCAAAAAAACCGCTTTTTTATTTTTAAATTGCCATAACTTTTTCAAAAATTGGCTTATCGGGACGTTTTTTTTTTCAAAATTTTTGTTATTAAATGTTCTTTTTGGAAAAAAATATAAAAAAATTCTTTAAAGCTATCTTCATTGTTATTTTTAAAATTTTTAGAAAAAACTCCGAATTTTTTGATGAATACCATTTTTAGTTTCTTTTTTCTTTTTCTCATTCTAAACTTTGACATTTTTTATAGATATCATGAAATTTCCAGAAAGGTGTTTTTCCGATTTCTATTTTTTCTTTTCAATTAAAAAAAAAAAATATTTTTCTTTTGTCGTATTTTTCATAACACCGGTCCAAAAATTTACGGGAATCCTCAAAAAAAAAAGTAAAAAGTATAGAACCATCAGTTTAATATGTTAATCATCGAGAAAATCAATTTTTTTTAAAACAAAAGAAATTGAAAAACAACAAAAAAAATAGAACTAAAAGTTAACCAGATTAGCTTCTCAGCATTGCTTTTAAAATTTTTAATCCTTGTGAAGGCTCAAATCTATTTTCAAATTACTCTAGAAGTCGTCGAGAAATGATAGTTTGCGCCACCAATGAATCCTCCTCATAAAAAAAAAAATTAATTAAGTGCCATCATTAGAAACAATATTGTTAAAGAACATTTTTTTGCTTAGCTAAGGAAAATGTTTTTATTAGTTTAAGAATCATTGCATTTCAGTCATTATAGTCATGTATTAAACCATTTGACAAAACCGTTTTAATTATAAAACTTAGAGTATCGGAGAACTGTTCATTTCAACGCCCACCATTCATTAAGCAATAAATAAAAAAAAAGGATTGTTTTTCAATTTTTTCTTTGATTAAAAAAAAATTGATTTTCTCAATGTTAAACATGTTCAACTTTTGGTTCTATACTTTTTTTTTTTTTTTTCTGAGGATTCCCGTAAATTTTTGGACCGGTGTTATGAAAAATACGACAAAAAAAAAAAATTTTTTTTTTTTTGTCGTATTTTTCATAACACCGGCCCAAAAATTTCCGGGAATCCTCAAAAAAAAAGTAAAAAGTATAGAACCAAAAGTTGAACATATTTAACATCGAGAAAATCAATTTTTTTTAAAACAAAAGAAATTGAAAAACAATTGTTTTTTTTATTTAATGCTTAATGAACGGTGGGCGTTGAAATGAACAATTCTCCGATACTCCGAAGTTTTATAATTAAAACGGTTTTGTCAAATAGTTTAATACCAAATACCATATATATATATATATATATATATATATATATATATATATATATAGAAAATGATTTCAAATTAATAACAAGAAAATGTTTATTTTTTGGTCTCTTATCATCAGTTTGCACTTAAAGTTCAGGCTATAACAAAGAAAAAAAAAAAATAATTAGAAAGGTTCAAAATAATGGCACAACATCAGGCACTGTGTTTAATAGTCTATTTAACAGCCGAGCGTTTCACAGCATCACCACTAGGTTCTTACTGGTCGGAATATGCTCCTAAGACTTCAGCCTGTTCGATTCTGAGCAAGTGATTGTAGCAGAGAGTTTTAAACTCCCCTAACGTTGCGGCACTTGAGACAGCAGGTGGCAATGAGTTCCAAAAGGCAACTCCAAGCACGAGAAAAGAGTTCTTGTACATTAACGTACGTGGAATCGGCGCTATGAGCGAATCAGTTCTGTTGTTGTCCCGGTGCCGAGCAATGTTAGGATTTGGCCTAATATTCCGGCTTAGTAACGCGTTTTTACCGAGCATCAACATGCTGTAGTAAGTACAGCCAAGTAGGTATAGTCGGCGATTCAGGGGTGAAAGCCATCCCAGTTCAAGCCTGGGGCCATTTATATGCGCCCCAAGTGGCCTCCGCAGCACAAATCTGACACAGTTGTTTAATGCTACTGCTAATTTCTTTTCCAAGCTTAGGTTCAAGTTCGTCAGTGCGATTGCACAATAGTCAAAAATCGGCAGGACTAAACTAATAACTAATTGCCTTTTAAGAACAGTATTGAGACAATTTGTAGACTGGCGAATGCGGTACAGTGTTCTTGATGCTGAGCTGCAAACTTTAGTGACCTGACCTGTCCACGACAGCGTGGAGTCTAGAACAACTCCTAAATATTTGAAACTGCTGACATATTCAATATCTTCTCCAGCTATCTTAAGTCTCAGTGCATCATTAGGATTAAGTGAGTTAATATTATTATAACCGCTTCCAAAAAACATAGCTTTCGTCTTTAATGAGTTTATCTTGAGCTTGTTTTGTCGACACCACGATTCGATTGCATCAACATCTTCACCAACGTTCTTAATTGCGTCATCCAAATCCCGCTGTTTGCACGAGTAGTAAATAACGGCATCATCAGCATACATCAGACTAGAGCAGTGACATAAACAGCTGGGCAGGTCATTTATGAATAATGAGAAAAGTAAAGGCCCCAAAACACTACCCTGAGGCACGCCGACTACGCACTCCTGCCAGGATGACAGCAACTCACCATCTCTCACCGCTTGTCTTCGGTCCACAAGGTATGAATATACGTAAGCCAGCTGACGTGGGCTTAAATAGACTTTGCTATTAGGGAAAGATCTGTGGACATCTTGAGCCGTTAGATTCGGCTTATTCTTCTTGGCAGCCACCAATTTCTTGCAAGAATCTTTGTTTTTCAATGTGACGATAAGTGAACGAGCAGCAGCAACCCCTTGTCCACGTTGACTTCCACCACGAGCTCTCTTACCTACTCGAAAAGCATCAATCAGCTCATCAGGCTCCAAAGTAGATCCCAACGCATTCGTGAGCGCACCAGTTAACACCTTAACATCTTCATTATCAGCTTCCGGCAGACCACTTACAACAAGCTGATTTGAGACTTGCTCGCAAGCAGCACGCAAAAGCACCATTTCGTCAGCAACTGATAGTCCCGTTTTAGCTTCGTTCACCTTCGTCTCAACCGCAGTAAGCCGCTTGTTAAAGTCTTTAATGTCAGCAACAGCCTTATTTTGTGCAGTCTCCAAAGAACCAAGGTCATTACGAAGCCCAGCAACATCGTTAACCAGCCGATCAACCTTCTCTTCGCACGATTTCAGCCCATCTAATTTGCTGTCAATGGACTGAAGCAGTTTTATAATCGAGACGTCTGTAATACCACAGCTCGGACATGTATCTTTTATATAAGCATTAATATCACGACATTTATTTTTCAATTTGAGTTGTAGACACAGCGTGGAAGTGATGTTTACAAGCTGCTCCGGTGGCAGGTGCTTCCAAGACACGCGTAATCGCATCATAACAAAGCGCACATAGTACCGGCATTGTTACAGAGTCTAACAGTCTAAGAGTTTACACAACAGACGTCACCACTTCTAAGAGCCATCGGCGATTTACAAAAATGGAGATCAATTATTATCTCAGAAATAGATAATAAACCTAACCTCCGTCGGAAGCCGAGAAAAGTTTTCCGATTTAATAAAAAAAAGTCAGCTTCAAACCGCGAAAGTTTTTCACTTAATTTGAACTCCAAGGCAATACGCATCGAATGAGTATATCCCCAAATTTAAACACCACTTAGAACTCACAGAAAATATTTACGAGATAGCAGTGAGGAAAAACGCGCACACACTCTACAATATCTCAAATAATAATGATCAATATAAAAACAATTATTGCAACTATGTTGCAATCGACAGTCGTATTTTTCAAAGCCGTCAATATTAAATGACCAATTATTAAGCTTCCAAGTACCCCTTTGCTTTTTTTCTACGCTCTGCAACAATATAGTTTTTCTTTCTCTGAAAAATGATATTTTAAATTGCTCCCTCAGCTATACACTCTTGCTTCCCATTGTTGAAAAACATGATCGCTGAAAAGTTGGAGTATGTCAAGTTTCAAAATGTCATCAAACGACTGCGCTGCATTGTCGGGTTGTTAAAAAAAGAGGAGTCGAGTTTATTATCTCGATCGTTGATTCATATTTATCTGTTATTCTTTATCATTCCAGTTTTCGGTACGATAAATTTTCTTTTTGCCAATATCACGAATATAATTATCGCGACCAGAGCTTTGAGTCTACTGTTGGGCTTCTCCACAACAATGATAAAAGTGTGTTAATGACTGACAAGAAAATCTTAATAAATTTTAACGTATTTATTTTTGTTAAAAGGGAATAACTTTTATCGTAAACCGCAAAGGCATCGATGAGCTCTATGAAACTCTGGAACAATATTTTGACGAATTGTTGAAAACTCCCGAAATGTCCAAGCAAATTTTGAGTAAAGTATCCATTTTTAGGCGATTTCCGTCATTTCTATCGACATTCACAGTTTTGCTCTGCCTATTCGTCGCACTCGGGCCAATTCTGTCAATTTTAACTCAAGTTCGCCATAAAGTTTCGCCTATCAATTATCATCTTGCTTATCCAGCAGTCTTTCCCTGGGATATAAAAAAAAGTGTTCTTCTATTCAGTTTGCATTTAATTGACGAGTATTTTCTTACTTTAAGCATCGCGATAATCACGTCAACAGTGGATAGTTTGTATACCTATTATATGTTCCAAATGATTGGTATTTTACGAACAATAACCCATCGAATTTCTATGTTTGATGAAAACAATTGTGAGTTTGAAATACGTGAATGCGTTAATAAGTATAACATATTGGTAGACTGTATAAACAAATCCGAACAAAAACAGTTTCACTGTAAAAAAATCGCGCCAAGTCCACGTTCATAAGACTATTAAGAAAAAAAAATTAGTTTTTTTCTTTACAAAAAGATATAAAATAAAAAAATTAAAAAATCCAAGTAACCGATATGATTGTTTATGATTTTCGGAAATTAAAAAAAATTTTAGTTGTAAATTTAAAAATTAAAAAAACAATTTTGGAACGTATTTAGTGTGCGCGGTTGCAAAATACTTTAGTTTTAACTAAATTCGTAAAATCTATTTACTAGAACTTTAAAAAAATTGAAATACACAATATGACGCAGAAAAATTATTCACGAAGAAATAGATATCCAAAGCGGATTATATACTAAACATTTAATATTGTGACTCAACATCTGGGTTTAGTTTTAGCGCACAATCTTTCTTCGGATTTACTGTCGTGATAATAATGGTTTGATTATGTAAGCTCATCATTGATTATCATTACTAATTTTAGCTAAAAATTATATAATTCTTTGTGGGCGTTTGTGAGTCATTCTACGCAAAATTGTCGAATGAATGAAAGTGACCTCCGTCTTGTTTTTTTTTTTTTAGAAGTTATCAAAACAGTATATAAATTTTTAGAGCACTATATAAAATATAAATAAAAAAAAATTAATTTTTTAAAATAAAATTTTATTTAATTTTTTAAAATAAAATTTGATTTATTTTTTTAAATAAAATTTATGACTTAAAAAAATTTGAATAAATTTATTAAATTAAGAAAATTGTCCGTCAAAATTAAGCATAATTTATATAAATTATAAAATAATAACTGTTTACTACAAATATTTATGTATTACATCATAAATACTGTTATATTTATTAACTGACAAATAAAAAAAAAAAAATTACTCTCACTTGACCTGAAATAGCGGGTGCTAAACTACCTTAAACTCGTACAGTACTAATTTAGCTCTTAAACAAATAAAAACCTCGCAGCAGTTTTATTTAACTACATCGGCAATAATATCGCACGCGAACGCGATAAAAATTATATCAGTTAAACTTTTATACATTTGAATACGACAAATCATATATATACATATCTGCACTGATAAAAAAATTGACTAATTATTTTTCAGCTTGATTCAATTTTTAAAAAAATTATTTTCTTACAGAAAATTTTTCTTTTAATTAATAATTTTTTTAGCAAATACCGAGTCAGAATAATGAACCTACAGGACAATTTTTAATTGTTTTAATCAATGTAATCTTGCAAAATACACTCAGACCAATATTAAAAAGTACAATACAAATAAACTCGTGTAGTAATTAAAAAAGTATTGATAAAAAAATTAAAAAATTTAATTTGTAAATTTTTTGATTATTATTAAATAGATACGTTAAATTTAACATAAAAAATTACAATAATTTAAATAATTATATTTTCATTATAAATTAATTTAATTATTTGTTTAAATAAATAAAATATTAAAAATTTTCATGTAGGTTCACTTATATTTTATTTTATTTATTATTTCAAATTATTATAATTTTTTATTACTTTTTTTTATGTTCTTAAATTTAATTTATCTATTTAATAATAATTAAAAAATTTACAAATTAAATTTTTAAATTTTTTTATTAATTAATAAAATAAAATGTAAGTGAATCTACATGAAAATTTTTAATATTTTATTTATTTAAAAAAACAATTAAAAATTGATTTAATAAAATTCTATAAAATAAATTAATTTATATTAAAAACATAATTATTTAAACAATTAAAAATTTTCATGAAGGTTCACTTATATTTTATTTTATTAGTAAAAAATATTTTATTTTGTAATAGAGCAAAAAAAAAATTAAGTAACTTGTTATTAAATTTTGAAGAGTGTTTTCCGAAGAAAAAGTTATCTATATTTAAAACCGATAAAATTTAAACTTAAAAGAGAATTGATCGATCGAGATTCGAATCTGGGTGATCGGGTCTATAATTAAGATAAGATATAAAATGAGAAAAGTGAATCAAGTATAATGAAATAACCCGGAATGTATTATTAGAGCCGATTATCAGAAAGTAATTCATAGAGCGAACAACTAAAATTATGGTTGCGCTTAAACTCTCGAACAAGTTCTCAATGTGTAGAGTAAGTGAGTTAGCTTTATAAAAATAATTTTCTTAGTCAATGATATGTTACCTAATGCTGCTCAAACACCATTTTTTAAATGTTTATAGGTCACGTGTTTGGTTTACCGCTTGTTTTGTTATTACATTACATCAACTACACTGTTATCATTGTACGGAGTTGCCGTGCATAAGCTTATATACTTAAACATAATATATATATTTAATAATAATAAGTAAATAAATTTACACTATAAAAGACCTTATATATGACACCTGCGTCAATAATTGGCTCTATACATCCTTGTTATTGTATAATACCTTATATTCATTTTTATATTTATGGTAAGACAATTTTTGCATGCGCATGTTATTTATTTTTGCGCTAAAGTATAAATTTAAATTACAAAAATAGTTGTACAAATATAAATTTAAAAATTTGCAGACATGTTCGTTTAAAATAAAATAAAATAAAAAAAATTTGAAAACAAATTGTATGCACAGCTGAAGAAAGAAAGAAAATATATGAAAAAAAAAAAAAAATATGATATAATTACATTCAATAAATAATTGCGTATTTAATTAAAAGCCACTTGACAACTGAATAATGTTTTTCAGATTATAAAATCACTTAGATATATAGATATATATCTGTACGTGTTAATGAAGTAAATTAAAAAAATTAAAAAAAAAAAAAAACAATTGTATAAATATTCCGGTATTTAATTAAAAAAAAATATTTGATATTTATGCAACATTTACTCAATTACTTTAGTATAAATGCGGCCTTTTTTTTCAATGCTTCAATATTATATTTTATATATATGTATATTAATCTTGTACATGTCTATGAAAGACGGAGTTGTAAACACAAAAGCTAATTTCTTTTTATTACATTCATCGGTCGGCATACAATGTAATAATAATTTAAGAAAATTATATGAGCATCAGTGTTGTACTCGGACGAGGATCAAGAAACCCGGATACTCGAGGTATAACGTCCGTTATTGTCAGATCTGAGTTTCACCGTTAATGACGGATACTATGGAGAGGATTATTCTATATGCAACTTAACTATTCAGCCTTATGAAGGTGAAACTCTAAAAACTGATGCAATATTTTTAAACTAAAAAACAAATTATAATTATATAACTTAAATTATTATTGTTATTTTTATAATTATTATCGATATTATTAATAGAATAAGAAAAATTTTATAACCAGGATAGTTATATGATAAAGTCGGTTTTTTTAGTGAAATTTAGTGTCATTGCATTCGAAAATTCTCTATCTCTATATACATAATTAAGAAATGACCTTTTATTTTGGGAACTATTGACATTTTTAAAGATATAAGCTCATCCCGATGTTACACTTGTTGAGACCTTTCATTGAAATACCCACATCAATTTTTCATATATTTATATATATTACATATATATATGAATATATGAAAAATATATCAAAAATGCATGTGGGTATTCAAATGAAAGCTCTTGATGAGTGGAACATCGGGATGAGCGTATATCTTCAAAAACGTCAATAGTTAAGAAAGTACAGTGCAATTTAACATAATTAAAAAATGACCTTGTATCTTCTGAACTATTGAAATTTTTAAAGATATAAGCTCATCCCGATGATACACTCATCGATAATTTTTCTGCCCTCCGGCCGGAAAGTGGCAACTTTCTGGCCGTTGCGCTAAACAAAGTTGCCACATTCCGGCTACGTCGAGCAGAAAAATAGTATACACACCTTGGCCAGTAAAAAGTAAAGCCTCAGACCACATGTTTGTCAACCTCGGCTTCGCCTCGGCCAACAATTACATGTGGTCTGAGACTTTTCTTATTTTACTGGCCTAGGTATGTAATATACTATTTTTTAACTGTAGTTTCCCATCTTACATTCTCGAATTATTTAGTCTGTGGCAGATCACTTTGTCCATCGAAAAAAAGTCAGGATCGAAATTTTTGCGTTGCTATAGTTTGTGCTGATTAAATTTAGTATTTTCAAGTAGATTAATTGTTATAAGTGAATATAATTAATTAATAACAGTAAAATAAAGTATGAATTACTGTTATAATATACAATTTAGGAAAAAAAAGTACCGTAGAATTAAATAAAATTTTGCAATCTCAAAATACCGTTCTGCTTACAGTAAACACAGTCGGTAGTCTGGCGCTCCGTTGACAATGGATTTGAACGGAACTTGGCGCCAGATTCTACCGAATCTGTGGATTTGAAAAAATCTACGGGGTTATTATTTTATGGACCATGAACGTCAACGCTATTGTTCTTTGTGGACTCATTTATCAGCTTTCTCACGTAAGTCATTAATTTTAAATCCAATTAAATTATTTTTTAGTGAATCAACTTTAATAAAAAAATCAATAATTAATTTTTTTAATAAAAATTAAGAATTAATTTGTTTAATAAAAATTAAGAATTAATTTGTTTAATAAAAATTAAGAATTAATTTTTCTAATAAAAATTAAGAATTAATTTGTTTAATAAAAATTAAGAATTAATTTTTCTAATAAAAATTAATTTTTTTAATAAAAATTTAAATTTCATTCTAAATAAATAATTTTACAGGCTAAATCAATTCCCTTTGCTTCAATGGTTTATTCCGGCGCACATGCTGCCTTGAAATTAAGCCAAGTTTTTATATTCGCCTGGAGTGGGTCGCTTCTTACCACCGAGGTATAAAAATAATTTTATTAATCAGCTAAAAATACATATTTGTGATGCTTAACTAATTTTTATAGAGTGAAAATCTGCGAGACGCCGTCTATGCTTCACGGTGGCTCCAAAACATCCGATTGAAGTCTTCAATAATAATAATGCTTTCCCAAAAACCTCTCACTCTGACAGCTTGTAATTTTTTATACGTCACAATAGACATGTTTGTAAAAGTGAGTCTGTCATTTTTATATCTAATTTTTTTAAATAAAATATTAAGTATGCGGTTTTTTTTACTACAGGTAGGAAACACGACCATATCTTATTATTTATTATTAAAAACATTTGAACAAGGCGCTTAAAAATCACATTGTTATTCTCACAATCATAAATTAGTTACAGATAATTATAACTGTTGAGTAAATCAAAATAAATATACATTGATCATAAAAAAAAAATATTGCTCATTAAAACGCAAAACACATAAATTACCTTTCAATTTTCTAGTGAGTAGGTGTGAAACAATTTTTCTTCAAAAAGTTTTTTTTTTTATGTTGAACATCAAAAACTATTCAGTTAGTAAAATTTCGAGACATAGAATAACGCAAAACTTTTGACAAGTTGATCAATTAAAAGTATATACATACGTCAGTAACAGAATATAAAGCCTTCCTCGCAATGATAAGCAGAGGTTGAGAGCTAAACTCAGACTGACTCCCCACCATGCACAATCTTTTTTTGATCAATAAGAAAACTATTACCAGTGAATATTATTTTAATTATCATCAATCATCTCTGCCGCTTGATATCGAGTAGAAAATTAAGTCTTATTGATGCAATTGACGGAATATTCTCCGTATTTTAAATAATTTTTTATTTAGACTTTTTGTTTTTAAGTCATTTTAACTTGGCCTTTCAATTTGATAATTTACGCCTGAGATGATGGTCAAAAATAAATTAGAGTATGATAAATTTAAAACTTTTATCAGACGTTTACTCTCTTTAGTCGGAGCTTGGTCGACAGAAGAGTCAAATTTATTTGCACGGTCACTTTTATATTTGCACTTGTCTGTGTATGTCGTACCAGTAATCGGAGTTTTTAATTTCGTTGGCGTAAATATACTGAATATCAAAGTTGTTGCCAAGGGATTGAGCATACTCATGGGCTTTTCGACAAATATTCTCAAAGTGTGATATATGTCAATTAATATTCTAATTATTTTCATATTCTGTACTATAATTAATATTTTTTCGCAATTTCGCGTGATTAGTAGTGACAATAATAAATTTTTATCATAATATTTCTTGTGGAAAAAAATTCTCTTACACAGTAAAAAATTTTACGTCAAAAAATTTTGTGTTAAAAATTTTTATGTTAAATATTGGACAATTTTTTGGGTTAATTTAACAAAATAAAAGTTAAACTTACACATAAAAGTGTTAAATATTTAACACTAAGTTTTTTGACGCAACGTCAAAAAATTTTGTGTTAAAAATTTTTATGTTAAATATTGGACAATTTTTTGGGTTAATTTAACAAAATAAAAGTTAAACTTACACATAAAAGTGTTAAATATTTAACACTAAGTTTTTTGACGCAAAATTTTTTACTGTTTATAATTAAAAAATTTACAAAAGTTTTGCGAAATTGCATTAAACTTTTATTTGTATCAATTTGTAATCTAAAATTACTAAAAAAATTGTCCTAATCATACCAGGCTGTCTGTATACTAATAAACCAAAAAGATGTGATCGAATTACATAAATTCCTCGACTCGTACTTCGATACAATGGTAAAGAAACCAGAACTATCAAAAATAGTTTTAAAAGGAGTCGGAAGTTTCCGACGTCTAACGATAATTGGAACGGTGCTGACAACAATCGTCTGTTTTTGCTACGCAGCCTATCCGGTTCTTTCTGTTATTAATCAATGGCACCAGCATACAAAGCCCATTCAGTACAAACACGTTTTCCCGCTAATATACCCCTGGAATTATATGACTAATAGTTTCATATACTATCTACACATTTTCAACGAAAATTTGACAAGTTTTAGTCTCATTGTGATTACCTCCGGAATCGACGGTCTGTTTCTTTATTACATTTTTCATCTGATCGGAATGGTGCGTGAAATATCATTTTTGATATCTTCGCTCGATAAAAATGATAACAGTGAAGCTGTTATGAAGCAATGTATTTTTAAATACGAATTATTGCTGAAATGCCGGGAGAAAATTCAGAAAATTTTCGGTTTGATTGTACTATGGAATATGAAAACTAATTCTCTTACGATGTGTATAAATATTTTTCAACTTTCCAATGTAAGAATTAATATTAATTGTTTATTCAAATATTTTATTATTTAAATTTTATCAAAAAAAATGAATGTAAATAATTCTTTATTTATTTATCTAACAGGCCAAGTCGATACCGTTGATATCAGTCATATTATGTCTAGCTCTAACAAGTCTAAAATTAATCCAAGCATTTGTCTTGGGATGGACAGGTACATGTTTCACTACTGAGGTAATTAATACAAATTTAGGAAAAATTTATTGATAATTCATATTGAAAAATTTTGGTGACATTTTTTACAGAGTGAAAAACTCCGAGAGGCTATTTATGCGGCCGACTGGTTAGGCAATAAGCAAATGATGAATTCGATACTGATAATGCTCACTCAAAAGCCTTTAGTCATAATAGCTTGCAAGTACGCCACTGTTTCAATAGAAATGTTTTCGGCTGTAAGTATTTATAAACTGAATTTTAATTCAATTATCCAATAATTTGACAGATAAACTAATTATTTTATGACTTTTATAGGTCATAAATACAACAATATCGTACTATTTATTACTAAAAACTTTTGACATCGACTAATAACTAAATTTATATTGCCGAGTATTCGGTGATAACTTTAATTTGTTATTTAATTAAATTAACCTGGAAAAGTTATCCCATCACTCGAAAAATCAATTAATTGCGGGATTGTATCTACTAAAAAATAAACACAATGATTTCGAGTGAAAAAAGACTGACTCCGAAGAAATTGAAAGAAAAACTTTTTAAAATATGTATTAAAAATAAAACTGTAGAATGATAACTTTAAAATTAATTCTTAAACATTTTATTCCTCAAAGATTTTAATTTTGTATGCAAAAGTCTAAGTAACAAACTAAAGGCAATAAAGACACAAAATTTTATTATAAAAAAAAACAAATTTGTCTTTTAAACACTAAAAAAAATTCAGCCCGTAAAATAGCACGGCATAAAACGGATCATTAACTTAGTTAAACTTTAACAATTAAAAGTATTTACATACATTTGGAGTTGCGGCCCTTGCTACTTATACTGAACGATCTTGACAAGTCGAAAGCAAAACTAAGACTGACCCCACCAACGCCAATAACTTTTTTTAATCAATATAAAAACAATTGTCATAATTATCATCAGTCTTTTGTGCTTCGTATTGACGTATTAAACATCAAATTAACTCTTATAGATGCTAATTGATTCTATACATCTTGTACTTCCGAGTAAGTATCATTTAAATGATAGATCGAATGGCAATTTCTTTGTAACAATTCGATCTCGACTATTAATAGTTATTTTATAATTTCTGTCTCGTGTTTGAAAATGGTTGAAATCAAGGAGGTAGAATACAAGAAATTCAGAAGTTTTATAAAATATTTGATAAGTTTAGCGGGTATTTGGACAACAGAACACTCGAATTCATTTGTACGGTCATTATTATACATCCATGTGTCTTGTTTTATAATACCAGTAATCGGAGTTTTGAACTTTATCAACACCAACATAACGAATGTAACGCTGGTAACAAAGGGGTTGAGTGTGCTGATGGGCATGGCGACGAACATGATGAAAGTGTGATATATTTCATTTTAACAATGTTTTTTTTTTTTAATTATTATAAAATTCAGGATGTAGAAATTACAATTTTTTTACTTTTTCGTTAGATTTTCTTGGATTAAATTACCGAAAACTGAACTTAATTGACAAGAAGTATTTTAGGCCTCTAATTAATTCAATCTCATCGCGACTTTGAAGTTTAAAACCTTAAAAAAATTTTTTTTAATTTAATTATTCCATTTTTCAGTATAACAAAGGGTTAAATTTAATATTTATAACAATTGTAATAAGTAAAAAATATTTATTAATTTTTGATGCAAAAAAAAAATTTAATTTTTCCTTGATAAAATATTTTTAAGTCTGGCAAATTGATATTTTTTTTGTAAAACAGTAGAAACAAGTCCTTCAAATTAAGAATTGGAAAAATTAAAATTTATTACAATTTTTAAATCATTTATATAAATTTTAAATATCTTATTTTATAAGTTAAAAATTTTGCACGCCTCATAGCGCGAAGCGCGCGAGGTTGTGCTTTATACTCGACTCATTAAGGTCAAGCAATTTTGTGATCTTCAAATGCCTCTATCACAACCATATTACACTTATACAATGATATAAGTAGATGTACACTGAAAAAACGCTTAAATTAAACCATCTTTTACTTTCTAAAATCATTTCATGTTGCTATTTTGACAAAAATTTTACGTAGACGTCGGGATGTCACCCCGTTTTGAATGTACCAACGATTACTCCCGAACAAATTGATATTTCAAGACCGGACCTTTTTTATTAGTTTAAGAATTCGATAAACTGGGTCCGTATTTCATATCAGTGGCCTAGCTTACGTGTTTTTTTTTTTTAATTGAATTTTTATTAAAATTCACTACGATACAACCGCACAAAGCCAAATAAACTTTTCTTATTTGTCACGTGAAAACTATGGCGCCACTTGATCAAGCTAGATTTTTTTAGACTGCGTGCGCATATGACAAGAAAAAAGGGCGCCGATATTTAAAAAAAAAATAAAAAATACTCTGTAAGAAATTACTTAATTATAATTTTTTTTTTTTAAACAATTAGTTTTACTACACAACTAATTTTTTTCTTAAAAAATGAATGAGCATTATGAGGCGTGCACTTTTGGATTTTCCAAACATATTTTTCAATTTAAGCAGTTAATTTTTCAACTTTAAAATGTAACTCAAACATGATATAATGTAAATATTTCGATGTTTACATCCTGAAATTTATCATAACAAAAAAAATTAAACTTGATACAATCAATATTAATTTAATTAACTAAATATCTATTTATCTCCTTTACTTTACTAGGCTATTTGCATGATTGTCAGTCGTAAGGACATAAATCGTTTCCGTGCCATCATCGACTCGCACTTCAACAAGTTGATGGAGAAGCCCCAACTATCGAGCGTTGTTTTGAAGGGAGTTACAAACTTTCGAAGAGCAACGATTTTCTTAACAACATTAGCGACTACTATATGCACTTTCTACGCGATCGTTCCCATGATTTCAATAATTAAGCAGTGGAAGCATCACATGCACCCTATCAAGTATAAACCGATTTTACCTACAGTCTACCCTTGGAATAATACGTCTAATACTTTTCTTTATCACTTCTGTTTCCTTATCGAAAACTTGACTAACCTGAGTATGATCGTTCTCACCTCGAGTGTCGACAGTCTATTTACTTACTATGTCTTTCACTTGATCGGTATGAGTCGCGAAATTCTGCATCTCGTAACTTCACTGAAAAAGAATGACGACACCGAAGCGGCTATCAATCAATGTGTGTCAAAGTACGCGCTGCTGCTAGAATGCCGAGACTTGCTGCAAAAAGTTTACGGCTTTGTAATTTTGTGGTCGATGAACACAAATGCTATCACGCTTTGCGCAGTAATTTTCCAGCTTACAAATGTAAAGACCACATCAGATCATTTTTTTGGAAGAAAAATGATTGATTTTTTTTTTACAGGCCAAAACACTCTCTATAACAGTCATGGTTATGTGTGCTGCACACGCGACTTTGAAGTTGTCCCAAGTATTTATTTACGGCTGGACCGGGTCTCGCTTAATGACAGAGGTAATAATAATTACAATTAATACTCTTCAAGACTTATTAATAAGCTTGCATTGATTACATTAGACTAAGCCCTTAAAAAATGTTTGATTTGTCCATAAATAATTTTTTTAATAAAAGTTACACGGAGAAAAAAATTTTGCTTTAGGAACTCTATAGTAGTTAGTTAGTTGTAAAAAGTTCCAGTAGGTTAACGTATTCTTATGGTAACAATACCGTTTGGCTCCTGCAACTCTACGTCGTTGAGCTTTGAGAGCTAAACGTTATTTCCCTTGCGGTTTTTGAAATACCGTAAATTTTCGGTATTAATGCGTTTACCATAAATTTACCGTTATAATTCTGAAATAATACGGTATTTCTGTGGTCATTTTGTAAAGTTCTCCCAACTATACCGTTAGGCTCTGAGAACAATCCCGTTGAGCTCTGAGAGCTCAACAACATTGAGTTATTAGAACTAAATAACATTTTGTTACTGTAACTCTAAAACGAACAGTAAACTGTGTATAGTTATGGTAACTCTACAATTTGGTTACCAGAACAAAATTTTTTTTCCGTGTAGTATTGAAAACTTCCAACAGATGGCGCATAGGCGCTAAATTGTCTCCTAAGAAGAAAGTTGAGTCAAAGATATAAAAATCTAAAACAAAAATTATTTCTTCCACTCTTTCGAATCATTTATTATTGATTTTTTGTTAAATATAAACTACAAAACTAAAATTTGTGATATATAATTATTATTTTTCTCAACCAGATTGTGTACATATAAATTAAAGTTATCTCGCCTTATTGGTCAAGTGATTAGTGAATTTAATTCAAGCCATTAGATGGACATTCCATCTTCGCTATTGTTCGAGAAGAAATTCTCTCTTTGCATCAGTTCGATGGGGGTCCATCAAACTTGAATACTAGTAAAGCTGGAAAATTTTTTGGTATCCGTTCGAGTTATAAAGATGTTAATTGAATGAAAGAAATGAAAGAAACTAAATGAGAATAAAGACAAACTTTCAAAAAATATATGGGGTCGGTTACCATGCCAGGAATCGAACCTGGATCTCCCTGATGGAAAGTAAGTAAGTATCGAGAGTATAAGAACAGACTGAGAAACGATGATGGTGGAAGGGGCCCGGTAGCTTAACTGGTAGAGCTCCTGACATGTTATCAGGGAGATCCAGGTTCGATTCCTGAAACTAAATGAGAATAAAGACAAACTTTCAAAAAATATATGGGGTCGGTTACCATGCCAGGAATCGAACCTGGATCTCCCTGATGGAAAGTAAGTAAGTATCGAGAGTATAAGAACAGACTGAGAAACGATGATGGTGGAAGGGGCCCGGTAGCTTAACTGGTAGAGCTCCTGACATGTTATCAGGGAGATCCAGGTTCGATTCCTGGCTTGGTAACCGACACCATATATTTTTTCAAAGTTTGTCTTTATTCTCATTTAGTTTCTTTCATTTCTTTCATTCAATTAACATCTTTATAACTCGAACGGATACCAAAAAATTTTCCAGCTTTACTAGTATTCAAGTTTGATGGACCCCCATCGAACTGATGCAAAGAGAGAATTCCCTCTCGAACAATAGCGAAGATGGAATGTCCATCTAATGGCTTGAATTAAATTCATTAGTCACTTGACCAATAAGGCAAGATAACTTTAATTTGTGATATATCTTTAGACATTTAAGAATTTTATGATAAATTAGTTCGAAAAAAAAATAGCTTACACTTAATTAATGTGTTCTTTGTTCAGTTTTTTCTATTCAAAAATAAATTACTGATGAATATTAACTTGTAATTTAATATTGCAAACTTTAATTAACTTTATCAGAGCGAGAAATTGCGCGAAGCAATATACGCTGCAAATTGGTTTGGAAATAAACGACTGATGACTTCAATAATAATTATACTCTCTCAGAAATCGCTGATTATAAAAGCCTGCAAGTTTTCAACCGTATCTATTGATATGTTCTCGGCGGTGAGTATTTTTAAACTCAAATTCAACTAAGTAACTTTTGAATTAATTTATTAATTTTACAGGTCATCAACACTACGATATCTTACTACTTGCTACTGAAAACTTTTGAAAGTGATTCTTAAAAATTTGATTATTTTTCAAATTTGCTGTATGTATAAACTGAATGTATATTTAAGAAATTTAGTACAATATATTGGCTTGATAGTTTCTATTTTTTTTTTAATAATTTTATGGTATGTTAAATAAAATTGATAACAGCAATTTCAATAAAAAAGCGTTTAAAATTTTTAGCGTTGAAATTTATCGAAAATCACTTGATCTGTCTTTGCTATTGTTCTTATCGTATTAATTATCGATCAATGTACGCATCATATTCGACCCGTCAGTTAAAAGCTCATTTTTCCAACAATGTATCCGAAGAACAATTCACCATACACTGTTTAATAACACCTACATGTTTTCAATGAAAATTCAATGAATTTTAGTCCCATTGTTGTCAATCGAGCATTGATACCTTATTTACGTATTATATTTTCCATTTGATCGACGTGTTGCATAAAATATCACCCATCAAATGCCATTATTTTGTCAATAAAAATAATTCAAACAATATATTTTGGCTTTTTGGAAAAAAGTGCAAAAATATACTTTAAAAAATTATACTTTTGAATAAAGTACTTACTAAAAAGAATAAATCGGTTCTTTTGGAGTATTTAATTGTTCAATTTTCGTCATGTATTTTACCACTTTGAATTAATTTGAACAAAAAAGTACAAAAAACAGTATTGATCATTTCAAGCAGCAACGAACTGATAGTACACGTATGTGAAATAAAAATAAATTGATAATGAGAGGATCTGTTCAGGTAAAGAGTTAAGCTTGTACTGAGTTCCCCACTACTGTTTATAATTCTCGAATCAATATTATGGCTATTACGCTTATTACACTGATTATAATCAGCAACCACCATCAATTTGGACTTAAGCTACTGAGTAGATAATTAACTTTTATAATAAGAATTGATTCTCACTTATCTGTATTCTTTATACTTCATATCAAGTCAACGACCGTTCAATTTAAAACATCAACGTCAGTTCAAATTAGTCTATGAACCTCTTCTGTCATCGACTTTGAGCTCGCGAAAATGATTGTCGAGAACCGTAAAATGTACGTCAGGTTTCAAACTCTGATCAGGCGCTTGCAGTTAATTATCAGTTTTTGGTCATCTAAGGATTCGAGTATTTTATTTTTATCACTACCGTACTTGCATCTATGTGCTTTTGTACTACCGTTAATCGGCGTAGCTAATTTTTTTAGAACTTACATTTCAAACATCAATCTTGTTACGAAAGGTTTGAGTGTTATGGTTGGATATTCTACAGTTATGATGAAAGTAAAGTATTATTATTTTATATTTTATAAAAATTAATTGTTTTTGTACAAAAAACTTGTTAATTTTTGATAATTTTAAATTTTATCAGCGTAAAGATCAAAATATTTTGAAAAAAAATTTTTTTTTCGTTTTCAAATTCATTTTTTTAAACGAACATAGTTTTATAATGAATTCATCAAAAATTTATAGAAAATAAAATTCATTAAAGTGTCTCACCATTTTTAAAAATTTTTGAATTTTTAACTTGATAGTAATTTTCTTTTAATCAATATTTTTTCAAAAATAATAGTAATTTCATGAATTAAAAGATTTAAACTAAAATATAAATATTGTAGTACCTATTATATTTAGGCATCTTTTTATTGAGTTCATAATTTTTTAATAATTCTATCCATATTTTTATAAATTCATAGTATAGACCATTGTAATAATTTTCCGGAATTTTGTTGGAAACAAAATCTAGTTTCGTACTACAATATTTGTCTTTTAATTCATGTATACATTATTTTTAAATAAATATTAATTAAAAAGATACTATCACTAGGTTAAATAATAAATAATGAACTATTTTATAAGAAATATAATATATTTTAAATAAATAATTAATGATACTAAAGTTAGCCGACGTTTTTAATTTTTTGATTTTATCTTTAATAATTAAATTAGAACAAAAAAATACTTTTTAAAAATTGCACTTACAGTTTTTGAAGTTTTTTACAAGTGAAAATTTTTTTTTTAATCATTTTTTCAATAAAAAAAAAAATTCTAAAAATTTTTATGTCAGCTAACTTAATTTTCATAATTAAAATATTTTATAATTATCGATGGTAAACTATTGATACTTTGAAGCTCCAAAATTAGTTTATTTAGAAAAATCTTTAATAATATTGAATTAAATTCATATGATAATTAATGATTTTATATTTTCACGGTATAGCTAAATTTTTACTATAATAAAACCTATTTGATTGTTTTTAACATTTTTCTTTGATCATTTTTGTATTTTTTTTTCTTTAAAATTTTTTTTATTATATGCCAAAGAAGTATAACTTCTGACGCGTGTACATAAGTACACACACTATTTTTTTGTAGGAAAATTAAATCATTTCTATAATAAATTAATTCAAAAATAATATTTATTTAAAAATATGAATTTAAGGATCAAATTTATAAAAAAAAAAAATTTTTACACAAAAGTATACTCAAATTTTTAAAATATTTTGTCAGATGATAACATTTATAGTGAAGCGCAAAGAAATAAACAAGCTACACTCGATCCTCGAGCCGTACGTCGAAAAATTGGTCGAAAAATCTGGAATGTCGCATGATGTTTTAAGAGAAGTGAGTATGTTTCGAAGATTATGTGCAACTTTAACCGGGTGCGTAACAACATCATCCACTCTGTATGCGGTGATACCTCTAGTAACAGTGTTCAACCAATGGAGACACAACAAACCGATAAAAATGAACCACCTTTACCCCGTGATCTATCCCTGGGAAAAAGCCCCTACTGGCCCGGTGTTCTACTGCCAAATTATCAATGAGTATTTCACAACGTTCAGTATCATCACAGTAACCTCCAGCGTAGACTCTTTGTTCGTTTACTACGCATTCCAAATGGTCTGTATGATTCGTGACATTGCACATAACATTTCGTCTCTGACTGAGGAAAACTGTCAAGAAATTATCGGTAAATGTGTACGTCAATATACAGTGTTGCTAGAATGCAGGAGCGAAATGGACAATGTGAGCAATTTTTCAATCATATTTAATTTTTTTTTGTGATGCAGGTTATTAAGTAATTAAAAAAATATTTTTGAAGGTTTTTGGACCGATAATTCTCTGGTCGATGGGAACTAATGCTGTCGTACTTTGCGGGCTAATTTTTCAGCTGTCTCACGTGAGAAGAAATTTAAAAATAATTTATAAATTACAGAATTAAAAAAAAATCAATTTTAATATTTTAAATAATTTTCAGGCTAAAACAATACCAGTTTTGACAATGTTTTTGTGTGCAGCATACGTTGCCTTCAAAGTGACACAAATTTTTATGTTTGCATGGGCTGCATCAAAATTTACTACGGAGGTAAATTTTATCAACTCAAACTTGTTATACTTTTCCAATTTAATTAATTAAAAATCTTAATACTCATTTCAAAGAGTGACGATCTGTCAGACACTATCTACGCTGCTGATTGGTTTGGGAGTAAAAATAGAATGAAGGCGATAACAATCATGCTGGCCCAGAGGCCTTTGGTTTTTACAGCTTGCAGCTTTTCAACGATATCAATTGAAATGTTTTCGGCAGTCAGTATTCGTCAGCCATAATTACTTTTATTTCTGATCTGATTAATTGATAATTTTTTTTTCTCCTTCAGGTTATGAACACAACGATTTCATATTTTCTTCTACTGAAAAATTTCGACCCTGATGCTTAAGCGCACACAATCAACCAAAATTGAAATTGAAAAATTATTTTGAATATCGTTATTGGTTATGTAGAACTCAAAAATAGAAGTCATCTTAGATGTGTAGTGTGTGAACACAAATTTTTGGAATAAAAAATGTTGTGAATTAAATTACATATCACAGCACCCGTGCATAGAATAATTATCACTGTTTTAAAGTATTTACAAGAATTAATTCAGAAATTTCTGAAAAATTGTAACCTTTTGAGTGAATATTTAATTAATTTTCATTAAAGACAAATAAAACTTGTGAGAACTTAAATTGATTAATAAAAAATGAGTAATAAATTTACCGAAATTGAAACCACTGAACCAAAATTACTTAAATTAATCCAGTTGAAATCCATACTCGGGATATACTTATGACTTATGACAAATGAAAATGACTTGATAATGATACGATCTGTTCAAGTGAAGAGTCAAGCTGAAACTAACATCCCCACCACCGAGCATAATTATCGAATCAATATAATTTCTATTACTCCAACTATTACGTCAATCATCTGATTATGTTAAAGATAAATCATTAGATCATTAAATCATTAGATTCTATAATACAAATTGATTCCCAGTATACTTAATGCTTGACATTTTCTCTTGTACAATCCAAGAATTACCTGCTCGAATTAGTCTGTTCTTAATCTTCTACTTGGCAGATTTCAACCATGATTGTTGAAAAACGAATAGAATACATGAAGTTTCAAATCATGGTAAAACGTTTTCTCTGCATCATCGGGTTTTGGTCGTCCGAAAATTCAAATATATTCTTTAAAAATTTGTTATTTTTACATCTCTCATTTTTTATAATTCCCATTATTGGTGTGATTAATTTTTTCAAAACTCACATTTCAAATATACACCTTGCTACAAAAGGTTTAAGTGTTCTGGTTGGGTTTTCTACCGTTATCGTCAAAGTATAGTATCAAATTTCTTTTAGTTTTGAAAATATGTATTCAAAATAATTGTTTCTGTTTTAATTACGGCAAGGTAGCATGTTTCGTCATCAACCGAAAAGACATTAACGATTTGTACAAGATTCTCGATCCTTATGTCGATGAATTGTTAAACAAATCTGGAATTTCGGACGTGGTTTTAAAAGGAATATCAAATTTTCGTCGACTATGCAAAATCGCCGCTGGATTTGTGACGGTGTCTTGTTCTTCTTATGCAATCACACCGATTCTTTCAATAATTAGCCAGTGGAGACACCAAAAACGACCTATTAGATACAATCTAATTTATCCGACTGCATACCCTTGGGAGCATCCTGCGAGTGGTTTCTTGTACAATTGTCACTTTTTGAACGAATACTTAACGACATTTAGTATCGTCACTGTAACGGCTAGCATAGATAGTGTTTTTGTGTACTACGTTTTCCAAATAATTGGAATGATACGGGAGATTTCGCATGACATGTCACGTTTTGATCAGGGCAATGTCGATGCTATTATTCGTCAATGTGTTCAACAGTATGAAGTGTTACTGGAGTGTCGGAGGAAAGTCGAAAAGATTTTTGGGCCAATAATACTTTGGTCGATGGGTACCAATGCAATCATACTATGTGCTGTCATTTTTCAACTATCTCATGTAAGAAATCTAAAATATTTACTCTACTTATTTATTGTTTTTTAATCATAAATGTAAGATTGATTATTATTAATATAAATGGAGTGTATTGAACTTGCCACATAATTTTATTTGATTTCAATATAAATTTTGGCATGATATCGATGAGCGATTTTGGATAATAGTCACGTCAAATGTGTCATAAAATAAAACTAATGACTTCAATTTAATCCGTGCAAAAATAATATTTACTACTATAATTATTGCAAGAAAATTTATTTGCAAAAAAAAATTTTATACAGTGTTGTAAATAAATTAAAGTGACTGATGAAACTTAATTTCTTTTTGAATATACACTAAGCGAAAAGGAAATTTGGTATAGAGTAGGTAGCTTAAATGGTATAGTAGCCGACATGTCTTCGGAAGGTTCTGAATTCGAATCCCAGTTCGAGCTATCCGAATTTTTTCTCGCATATTCTATAAACCCACATTAAAAAGGTTCTTTTCTCCCCTCCGTGCGGAAAGCGTCAATTTTCTGCTCACTGCGCTAAACGAAAATGCCGCTTTCCGCCTCCGTCGAGGAGAAAAATAGTATTCTCACCACGGGCAGGAAATAAGAAAGCCTCAGATCACATGTTTGTCGACCTCGGCTTCGCCTCGGTCAACAATTACATGTAATCTGAGACATTTCTTATTTTCCTGCCCTGGTTAAGAAAAATACTATTCCGATTCCTTTCTCAATCTCATCCTCCCAATTATCCTGTTACGTGAATGTTGAAACGCTTCACGTAATAATATAATTATCCGTAACTCCTATTCTTTCCCGCTTCACAGCATTATTTATATTTGTTTTATAGATTTTTTATATATTTCGAAATAAATATTATTTATATTTTTTTTTCATGGGGATGATTCAAAAGTTAAGTTTCATCAGTCACTTTAATTTTTTTACCATACTGTATAAAATTTTTTTTTTGCAAGTATATTTTCTTTGCAATCATGATAATGGTAAATATTATCAACCTAATGATAAAAGTAATTTATTTTTTTTATTTCAAATATTTTAAAAGGAAAATTAAGTTATGATTATGAATCATTTATTATAAAATCATCTTTGTTCCAAAATTAGAACTTAAAGATTAAAGATCATAAAAAAATTTTCTTTAAATACCAATCACGCATTAACAACTAATTTTTATTAACTTTTACAGGCAAAAACCATACCGTTCACAGTAATAGTGATTTGTGCAGCATACGCTGGTTTGAAACTGACTCAAATTTTCATTTTTGCATGGGCAGGCTCGCAACTCACCATCGAGGTGAATAAAATAGATTTTTAAACAATAACAGCTCTCAATTTTTCAGTCCATGTTATATTTATTGCAATAGAGTGAAAATTTAATAGACACTATTTACGCAGCCAATTGGCTTGGGAATAAACGTACGATGACTTCGATATTAATGATGCTCACCCAAAAACCGCTGGTATTAACTGCCTGCAGCTTATCAACAGTATCAATAGATATGTTTGTGTCAGTGAGTATTAAATAATTACTTTCAATTTTAACTAAATAACAATAATTGATTTATCTGTCGTTCTGCAGGTAATCAACACAACTATTTCATACTATTTATTGTTGAAAACCTTTGAAGCCGATACGTAGTTCATTATCAAATATTTTATATATGATGAACGATAGTAATAAGTCCATTGTTAAAGTTATTATTGTCTAGCGTATTAAATCAAGATTTATTAATTGTAATTTTAAAATAATTTACGAATATAAACTCACCAGCAAACAGTTTCTCCAGAAATTAGTCTTTTAAAATGAGTATAATTGATCCACACTGAAACAAAAAAAATAAAAATTTTTACAAGACACATTAAAAAATTCAATTTTAAAAACATTGTTCTTATATTTTGAACTTTGTATTTTACGATTCAGTTTTATAGCAAGACTTATTCCCAATGACTGCTGGATTAAGACTGACGCTAACAGATCCATTATAAAATTTCCGATCGATCGAAAAACTATCACTGTAATTTTCAGTAGAATAAAACTTTTTAAAATTTATTATTACAATAGCGAGAACTTTAAATTTACATTTGATCGTTGAATTAATTTTTTTACCATATTAAACTTTGGATTTCTACGAAGAAAATTACTCGGATAATCTCTTTATTATCATAAAGCTTAGTCTTTTCTAAATTACTATAAACGGTTTCTTTGTTAACATGTCAGAAAGCAGTCTTTCCAAGTATAGAACATATCGTGGGCTCACTAAAGCATTACTTACAGCCGGAGGTCTTTGGCCTTACCACAATTCGTCTATTTTTTACCGAGTTTGGCCGTATCTGCAAATCATTGTAAGCTCAGGGATGGTGTTGGCAATATTAGGGTTCGTTCGAGAACATTTTTCGAATGTTGCTCTCGTGACTCGCGGGCTAAGTGTTATGACAAGTCATTTGACAACAATGTTCAAGGTATTTGTTCAAAATATTGACGACAAAAGACAGAGACATGATCAAATTCATTTTATTATTTGTTACATGTGGTCAAAAGTTGATGTGTTTGGCGATAAATCGCGAGGATCTGGCGGAGCTCCATGAACACCTTGACCCGTATGTGGAAAATTTGTTAAAAACATTCAAGTCAACAGATGTGATCTTGAAAGATGTTAACAGCTTCAGATTACTATCGTGGGGCCTAACATTTTTTGCATTTATCGCTACGTGTGCTTTGATTTTCATGCCATTGTTGGTAATTTTACACTATCATCAGCAAGGAATTGAGCTGACTAATTACCCGTTAATTTACCCAAGTGTTTATCCCTGGAAAATAATTTCGAATGGATGGATCTACAAAGCAAATTACGTTTTTGAATCAACTGCCACTCTAATTATGTTTTTTGTGACCGCTTCTGTCGACTCTCTATTCAATCTGTATGTTTTCCAAATGGTCGGACAGCTGCGCGAAATTTCGTACTGCATCACACACCTCGATAGTTTCGATAAAAATAATAGTGTTGTAAAGTGTGTTGTTCAGTACGAAAAATTGATGAAATGCGTGGTATTACTTGAAAAAATCTATGGGTTTATTTTTCTCTGGATCATGGCGACAAATGCTGTTGTGCTTTGCTCGTTATTGTTTCAAATATCGCAGGTAAAAATTATTTTGACTTTGCTTCCAATAAACTTTAATTTTATTGATATGTTTTGCAACAAAAATTATTTTTGATCCAAATTTTAGCTTAAGAAAAAAATTGATCAAAATTTTTGATTTCAGATGAAAAGCATATCCATCACGCGAGGATTGTTATTTACTACATACATTACTTTGAAAGTGATTCAGACATTCATGTATACTTGGGGTGGTTCTTACCTAACTGATGAGGTAATTTGGAAAATATTCTTGAAGTTTTTCAACTAAAATATCACTTATTAACAGAGCGAGAATTATAAATACGCGGTGTATGCATCAAACTGGTTTGGAAATAAAAATCTTATAACGACTGTCAAAATGACACTCTGTCAAAAATCATTGATTCTGACTGCTTGCAATTTTTCTATTGTGTCTGTTAAAATTTTTGTGATGGTAAATTTTGAGAAGCAATTTTTTTTTGTGTATATAATAATTTTCTTTTATTTTTTAAAGGTCATGAATACAACCTTATCTTATTTCTTTCTACTAGAAGCGATGGATTCTTGAGAAAATCAATCATCGTCTACAATTCTACGCACAGATGCGTAATTATAAATAAATTGGTGAAAATAATTTACTTTACTTTTGAGAAAATACATTTAATAACAATAAATAATTAATTAAAAAATTTATTACATTCCAAAAAACGTTAAGATCCATAATAATATAAGTTAACATTCACTAAAAATTTTTATAAAACATTTTTAGTTACCAAATATTTTTATAGTATCAATTTCACGATTTTTATGTTGAATTTTCACTACAAATTTGAAAAAATAATAATTGTAAAAATAGGAGATCTGTTAGAGTGGATTGTGAAAATATGACTGACGCGTAGCTGCGTTAGAAAAATTTTTGATCAATAAAATCTATAACAACAATAGTAGAGAGTATAAGTTTTGAAGAAACTTTTTGAACTTAGTGTGTAACTTCTAGCATATAATTTTTGAATTGGAAATTACGATTTCCGGAACCACGTCAATATTGCGTGCACAAAGACAACGCACCACATAACATATCTAACGGTGCGATTAGCTGTCCATAAAAGTTAGTTCTTAGCATTATGTCTCAACCTGAAAGAAGCGATTACGTAAAATTTCGCGGAGTTACAAAAAGTTTCATGGCCATCTGTGGACTATGGCATTATGAAACTACAAGTTTGTTTTATCGACTAATACCGTACGAACAAATAGTGTTAATTGTAACTCTAATAATGGCAATACTAAAATTAATCTATGAGAATCACTCAAATTTGCTTTTTGTCGTAAAAAGCTTAAATTTTGCGACCAGTTATGTGTTTACTTGTTTCAAGGTAAAATTTTGTTCAAACATATTTTGATATTACATCGTTTTAATAATACGTTAAATGTTGCAGGTGTTAAGTTTTATTTTAAATAAAGAAAATTTAAAAAATCTTCAAAAAGCTCTCGACCTTAACTTCGATGATATGTTAGAAGATTCTAAAATATCAAAGCTCATTCTAAAAAATATCAGTATCTTTAAATCTATTTCATTAACTTATGCAATGAGTGTTATTCTCACTACGACCTGTTACATAAGCATACCTGTATCTATCATTTCATACGCAAGTTATCATAAAATTAATTTAACTCAATATCCTATGCTATACCCAGCTAGTTATATTTGGAAGAGGCCAGCGAAAGGATTATTCTATCAACTTAATTTTTCACTCGAAATTATCACTGCAGCGACTATAACAGCGATCACGATAAGCATCGATACCATGTTCATGTTGTACGTTTTCCAAATGATTGGGCAGTTACGTAAAATTTCATACTATGTTACGTATACTGGCGAAAAAAGCGACCAAAATCATGCATTATCGACTTATGTTTCTCAATATGTGAATTTGATTAAATATAAGGATTCGTTTGAAAAAGTTTATGGTCCAATAATTCTGATACTGCTAACCACTAATGCAGTTGTTCTTTGTACATTATTATTCCAATTAACACACGTATGTAATAAATTTTTTAATAATATATTGCTAGATAATTTGCACTAAGAAGCTTACAGTTCACGTTTATTTGATAAAAATTGGATACTTTACGCCAAATAAATACAATATTTTGTTTATAATTAGAATAACATTTATTAATAACAATAAAGTACAAAAAATTAATTTAAAATAACTAAGGATTGAATGCACAGTGATTAATTAAAATTAAAATTGGTTTTTGTAACGATTTATTTCGAAAAAAAAAAAAAAAAAAAAAAAAAAGTTAATTTCTAATGTATATACATCAAATTTGTGAGACTATTACAAATTGATAGAAAATAGCAAATTTTTTATTTTATGCTACTCACCACTGTTACCCCGTCCCAGAGCTACTACCACAGCGCGGGAAGGGGGGGAAGTGAGTTGGACCGAAATCACCGCTGTCCATCTTACAGCAACAAAGAAAGTTAATTTCTAATGTATATACATCAAATTTGTGAGACTATTACAAATTGATAGAAAATAGATATTTAAACGAATTATAAAAAAATTCTCAAAATTTCCCAGAAATTTTTTGTGGATACTAGCAATCTCAAAAATTAAGAAAATAAAAAAAAATGTTTCAAACCATCGGGTTTGGCGTGGAATGCCCCATATGCTATGATTAGTGATGCGAAATGACGGTCATTTTCAACTTTGGTCAAATCACGAGCAATTGACGAGCAAATGCTCGTCAATTGACGTCATTTTTTTTTGGTCAGTCATAAAAATTCATGAGCATTTTTTTTTTTTTTTACTAAAATTACTCTCAAAAAAAATCAAACCAATCTATTTCATATGCAACTTCAATATTTTAAATATTTAAAACGAAATTTGTCTAAAAATTCTGACGGTAATAAACAAATTTGGCTTGCTCAACTACTTAGATGGAAAATGACCGTCAAAAATTTTTCGGTCATTTTTTGGTCAATTTTTTAGACTTGAGAATCTGGTGAAATTTGTTTACTGAAATTGATTCTACAGATTATTTGTTAAAAACAATCACTATATCTATTAATATGAACACAAAATTTATCTAAAAATTCTGACGGTAGAAAAAAAATCTGGGTTGCTCACTACTTAGATGGAAAATGACCGTCAAAAATTTTCGGTCATTTTTTGGTCAAGTTTTACAATTTTTTTAATTTAGCTTTTAGATTAAATCGCCAATTAATTCGAAAAATAACCGGCGGTCATTTTTTTTTAGTTGGTCAATTGACGTCAAATGACAAGCAATTGACGAGCACATGCTTTGCTTCACATCACTAGCTATGATACTAATAATAATAATAATAACTATAATACTCAGAATTATCGATCTTGTTATCGATAAAAATATAAGCTGAAATCCCTTCCAAAAAACATTTTTTACCACGTAAATATGACCTTTTTTTATCAAGAGTATGAAATAAAATTCTTTTAATTTTTTCTAGATGATATATTACATTTTTTGTTTTGATATTTTGATCATAAATCGGAATTCAAGTATTGATATATGATAACAAGTTAGATTATTTCAGGTAAGAGGTTTTTCTACTAAATCAATCATTCAAGGACTATCATATCTGTTATACCTGATACTAAAGGTAATTCAAACGTTTATGTACTCATGGAGCGGTTCATGTTTAACAGAAGAGGTAATAATTCAATTATTTAACGTAATTTAATTATTATGAATGATTGAAATATTGTGGAAAAAATGAAAGTCATTTGAACTTTCTATATCGACAGAGTGAAAAGTGTCAATATGCGGTGTTTTCTGCAAATTGGTTCGGAAACAAAAAAATGATGAGTTCAATAGTCATCATACTTTCACAGCGACCTTTATTATTGACTGCATGCAATTTTGCAACTGTTAATGTCCCAATTTTTGTTATGGTAATTTTTTCTTAAATCTTATCCTTTTGTTTTTATTCACTTATATTACAGAACTACTGATTTTTTTTACAGATATTACAAACATCGATGTCATACTTTTTTCTTTTACAAACAATTGAAGAGCATAATTAATCTTGTATACTTAAAGCCAAATATTGACATACAATATGAAAAAAATATTTAACAGATAATTTTAGTGAATAATTAAAAAACATATTTACACAAAAATCACTAAATAGTTGAATCACTCCCATTAAAAATGTAATTAAACGTTTCCGTTCACTTTTTGAACACTTATTAATATATATTTTTGTCTGCATCAAGTCTGATATTACCTCAGACTAATGAATTTTTATAGAATAGTATAAAAAAAAAGAATACTATGAGAGATCTGTTAAACGAGCAGGTCAAAATACGACTGAAGTGCACAATAGGTTCTAGATGAAAAAATTTTGATCGATAAAATCTACAGCATTAATGATAGACATGCATGTTCTGAAAAAACTTTATCTAGTTTGCCTATTACTACTTATGTATAATTTTAAATAAGAAATAACTATTCCTAGTACTGTTCCACTATCACGCAAAAAACAATACCCTATACTTTATTTAATAGTGCAATTTGGCGGTTCAAAAACTTCACTCTTATAATATATCTTTGCACAATGTCTCAAAGCGAAAAAAACGATTACATTAAATTTCGTTCTCTGCCTAAAAGTTTCATGACAATTTGCGGACTGTGGTATTACGAAAATTCGAGTTTAATCTATCGAATTATACCTTACAAGCAAATTGCGATTTGCGCTACTATCGCATTTGGTATGCTGAAGTATATCTACGAGAATCATTCAAATTTGGCTATTGTCATAAAATGCTTAAGTCTTGCAACGGGTTATTTATTTGTTATATTCAAGGTAAAAATTCTATTTTATTCCTTTTCAATACTACAAAAAAGTAAATTTGATCTTACTCATTCAATTTTTCAGGTAGTGTGCTTTACACTCAACAAAGAAGATCTGAATAATCTCCAAAAAGCTCTCGATCCTTATTTGGAAGAAACATTGAAGGATTTAAAAATATCAAAATTTATTTTAAAAAATGTCAGTATTTTCAAATACATAACAAAAGTTCATGCAGCAATCATTATTTTTACATCACTATTTTATGTTTGTATTCCACTGTTTTTGATATTTTACGTGAACCATCATCACATAAACGTGACTCACTATCCTGGATTATACCAGACAAGTTACCTTTGGGGCAGACCTACAAAAGGACTCGGATATCAAATCCAGTATTTATTTGAAGTGTTTGGTGCTTACACTTTGGCTGCAGTAACAATAAGCGTAGATACTGTATTCATGTTATATATTTTCCAAATTGTTGGACGCTTACGCAATATTTCGTACAATATTTCGCTTTCTGGTGACGATAAAAATTCATTATCAACCTGCGTCGTTCATTATGCGAAATTGATAAAATACATAGCTTTGCTCCAAAAAATTTACGGCCCAATAACCCTCATAACGGTGGTCACTAATGCTGTTATTATTTGTACAGTATTATTCCAACTGTCACACGTAAGTTATTTGATTTAAAAAACGATGAATTGTTTGACTTCAAGTGACCTTAAATGAGAGATTGAATTTTACAGGCAACTTTTACCATTTCTGGAAAATCTATCATTCAATTATTAGCGTTCTCCATGCACTTGTCACTGAAAACGCTTCAGACATTTTTGTACTCATGGAGCGGTTCTGTTTTAATAGAAGAGGTAATAACCAAAGTATTCCACGATCTTAGTAACTTTGTTTTGTCTACTCACCAATAGAGTGAAAAGTGTCAATATGCAGTTTATACTTCCAATTGGTATGGAAATAAAAAATTGATGACTTCAATTGTCATCATACTCTCACAACGACCATTAGTTTTGACAGCGTGCAATTTTTCAATTATCAATGTTAAGGTTTTCGTGATGGTAATTTTTTATAAAAATCTTATCGTTAATTTTTTACTCTATTTAATTATTTTTTATTACAGGTATTAAACACATCGCTTTCATATTTTTTTCTACTGCAAACTGTCGAGGAAAATAATTCAAATTCAAAATAAAGTATATAAAATTTTATGTTGTTAATATATGAAATGTTACTGTAGTAAAAAAATAGATAATATATTCGACCTAAACTTTATTATGTTTGAGGTTCATTTTTTGTATGAACCTTGTAAAAAACTTTTATTTGTTAAAAAAAAAAAAAAACCGAGGATTTTAAAGCTGAACTAAAACACAAATTTATAAAATTTGAACTGAAATTATGTCAAAAATTTGCAAGCTTTAATTTATCACTCACATTAGAACCGAAAAAACCAGTTACAATTCAAATTTTATTAATTACCATTTTTATATTATAAATTTGACGGGCCTTTGCTTATTTTTGCTGCTGTATTAAAATATAATTAAAGCTCAAAAACTTCAAAAATTTTTTTAATTAATAAAAAACTACAATATTAAATACAACTGTTGCTCAAAAAATCTACATCATGACCAAATTTTGAAAAAATAGATTATGTTCACCAAAATTATTATCAAACATTTTCGTTTACCTTATTGTGGTATTCAATAATGACGATAAGTAACTGATAAGATAACTCGGACAAGTTGACGGACAGACGGAGACTAAACAGCAAACGCATTATAAATTTACCGATCAATAAACAAATGATTACAATAATGAAGAGTAATTTAATCTCTAGCTTTTTTCTAATAAATTGATCCCGATAATTTCAAAGAATATACTTATCTACTTCCATTTACTACAAGGAAATAATTTTCTCCATAATCCAACATCTAGCATTGCGCAGTAGAGAATCATTAGATGCGATTTGCTGATTATCAATCAATTTCTCTACTTATGGCCACAAGGGAGTTGTAAGAGTCTTAAGAATGACCGAGAATAAAGTGTCTCATTATATTGTGTTTCACAAACTTACCAAAGGTCTCTTGACTTTCGCAGGACTTTGGCCTTACGAAAATTCAAATTATTTCTACAAAATCCTACCGTACATTGAATTAATCATAAGTATAGGAATCGTGATAGCAATTTTTGGTTTCGTACGCCAACATTTTTCCAGTGTTAGTCTGGTTACTCGTGGCCTAAGTATTATGACAAGTTTCATTACAGTCATTTTGAAAGTAAAAATTTTGAAATCTATTTTTTGGATAAAATTTTACTAATTCTTTAAAAAACTGTTACAGCTAAAATGTATGTCGACATATCGAGAAGATTTAAAGGAGTTGCATAATTACCTTGACTCTTCCTTCAGTGCATTCCTTGAAAATTCAAAACTAACAAAACCTATTTTGAAAAAAGTTCAAATTTTTACAAACTTATCGGTCGTTTTTACTGTATGTGTTTTAATTTCCGTGTGTTTTTACATTATAAACCCATTAATTTTTATAATACAGCATTATAAACTCACGGGAGTAAAGTATCCCTTAATTTATCCGAGTAGTTATCCTTGGGAAGTGCCACCAAGTGGATTTTACTATCAACTTCACTTTGTTTTTGAATTACTCGCATCATGGACATTGCTTCTCGTCACTACGGGTATCGATTCTTTATTTACCCTTTATATTTTTATGATGATTGGCCAATTGCGTGAAATGTCCTATTCTATAACACACATTGACAATACTCAGGACAAAGATCTTGTGATCCGTAAGTGTATTGACCAATACGAAAAGTTACTAAGAGCTAAATCTATAATTGAAACCCTTTTTGGGCCCGTAATTTTGTGGATCATTGGAACAAATGCAATTGTACTGTGCACGCTACTGTTCCAAATAACGCAGGTATGAAATATTTTCAAAGAAATACACATAATAGATTTTAAAAAAAATTTTAGATGAAAAGTATATCGATGCTACGAGGAATGTTATTCATCACATACTTTACATTGAAGATTGTCCAAACTTTTATGTACGCGTGGAGCGGCTCTTGTTTAACTGAAGAGGTAAGTTTGAACGAGGAATTTTAAATTTTCACTTGAAATAGTATATTACAACCCTAGGCCAGAAAGTTGGATTTTGATGGCCGAGGCGTAACCGAGGCCATCATATCCCATACGTCAGGGCATCCAACTTTCTGGTCGTGGGTTGTATACTATTTTTCTTGCTCTCCACCCGAAAGTACGCAACTCCGTGGAAGGGGTTTTGCCGGGTGCGAGGGGGGCGCCGCCCGACTTTTTTAAAACCGAGGCGAAGCCGAGGCTTTGCTGGTCGGGGCGGACAAAAAAAAAGTAAAAATTAATAAATTAAAAAAAAAAATAAGTTATTCTAAAGTTTACTAACAACTGTTCTAATTTAGAGTGATAAAATGCACAGAACTTGGCACAAATATTTAAACTCGTTCTAATAACAAAATTTATTTTTTTGAGTTGATTAAAAATTAATTTTTAGTTAATAATCGACGGCTAAGAAAGATTGAAATTAAATGATTAGAAGCTTGTAGAGTACATGTACCTATTATTTTATAAACATTGCTTGACTAGATGTCAAAATATAAAAGAAAGCAAATAAAATCCACAAAACTATTATATTTTATTTTATATAAACTTTTTATATGAATCATTTATGTAGTGTTATTATTAAATAGTTCATTAATAATAATCTAGTTATAAATTATTTTTATTTTTTTGACACTTTCTAGTTAGTTTATGCACTGACATGTTACATACAGACGATGTTGTGATGTTGTGACTGTTAGACAGTTGAAACTCACGCCACGAAAAATATGAAAAACAAGCAAGGTTCTGTACTGCCCGGCCAGAAAATATGCGTAGCGCGCATGCGCCAAAACAAGCCACAAATGTTGCTCTTTCTGGAGTAAAATGCGTCCAGAAAGAGCGTACTTTCGGGTAGGAGAGCAAGAAAAAAAATTTTTTTTACAGAGTGAAAAATATCGTTATGCGGTTTACGCATCTAATTGGTACGGCGACAAGCGTCTTATTACTACTGCAATTATTACGATGGCTCAAAAGCCATTGACGCTGACTGCTTGCAACTTCGGCGTAGTTTCAATTGATATTTTTGTTATGGTAATTTTCATTAATTTAATTAAGTATTGATAAGTTAAAGGTTTTAAATAAATATTTTTACGTTTTTGGCAAGGTACTTAATACGACAGTGTCGTATTTTTTCCTACTACAAACTCTGGATCAGTGATGATTGCTATTACTAGTACGTTGAGATGGTGAATTGTTAATTTGTTATTCAATTAATTCTATTTTTCAAAATAAAAATCTTTTGAAAACATATACGAGTTATAAATAATAGAAATGAACATGAATTTTGATTAAAATTTTGAGGTTCAAAAAAACTACAAATTTTTGAACTATGTTAAAAACTAGTCATATTTTTATATTTTTACGGAAATATCTCACTCACAAAAATTCGTCGAACTTCCAAACAAAAATTAGAATGCGTTTTAATAACTCATTTATAATAAAAAAAAAAAAAAAATATTAGTTGATTAATTGGTAAATTAAAAATAAATTTCAAAAAAAATTTATCAGTAAAAATAACCAATATTTATTTATCAAAATATTTACAATTAAAGCACATAAAATAAATTTTTAGTCGCACAATTTACACTAAATTACTAATGAAACTATCAAATTAAACTAACCAGTGAAAAAATAATAAAATATCCCATCAATGAAGAAAATAGGTAACTTTTGAGATGACTTTCACTACTTGACGATCGGGTTGAGACTGACGCAGGAAACGCATTATAAATTTACCGATCAATAAATAAATGATTACAATAATACAGGTACTTTAATACGTGAGCTTCTTTTTACTTTAAATTGATACAATGTAAGATAATATACTTCCGTATGCAATATTTACTATAAGGAAACAAATTATTTTCCTACAAAACATTAGATACTGCATAGTAGGAAATTACCCGATGCAATTAGTTGATTATCTACCTATGGATACATTGTAAAGATGACTGATAATAATGTATCTGATTATATTACATACCGCGAAGGTACTAAAAAACTTATGACCATTATCGGACTTTGGCCGTATGAAAATCCAAGTTTCTTCTATCGACTAGTGCCATACATTCAAATATTATTAAGTTTGGGAATGGGTTTAGCGATTTTTGGTTTTGTGCTTGACCATTTTTCTAATATTGGTCTGGTAACTCGCGGATTAAGTGTTATGACTAGCTTCATTACCATTATTTTAAAGGTATTTACCAATAAATCAGTAGAAAAGTATATTAATTAATGTGTTGTTTAATTCAGGTCGTTTGTTTAGTGATGAACCAAAAAGAACTAGTAGAACTGCACACGAATCTTGACCCTTATTTTGACAAACTATTGACGAATTCAAAACTTACCAAAATTGTGCTGAAAAAAGTTAAAGTTTACAAATTTTTATCATGGTCATTGGCGTTTTGTGTTTTTACCTGTCTAGTAGCGTACATTATCGGCCCGTTAGTGTACATAACCAATTGTTATTTCAATAAAATTACGATTACTAAATACCCGCTGGTATATCCGAGCGGTTATCCGTGGAAAATAACTTCCAATGGATTCGTCTATAAAATACACTTTATTTTTGAAACGCTAGCTACGTCAGCTCTATTTTTTGTCACCTGTAGCGTCGACTCGTTATTTACATTGTACGTTTTTCAAATGGTCGCGCAACTACGCGAAATGTGTTATTGCATTACACACATTGAAAACGAAGATGATAGCCAGGAGGTGGTGTGCAAATGTGTTAATCAGTATGAGAAGTTAATGAGGTCTAAATATATTCTTGAGAAAATTTATGGACCTACAATTTTGTGGATCATGGGAACAAATGCAATTGTACTTTGCACGTTGTTATTTCAAGTTTCGCAGGTATGAAATTTATTGAAAGCTTAAAATTCATTAGTGAGAATGATCAATGATTTCAGATGAAAAGTATATCAATTATACGAGGGATGTTAATTGTTACTTACGTTGGAATTAAAGTAATACAAACTTTTATGTATGCTTGGACCGGATCAAATTTGACGGAAGAGGTAATTTTAAAATATAAATGATGGTAAGAGGAGATCATTAAAAATTAACAAATTTACATTACTTAAGAACAGAGTGAAGTTTACAGACGCGCTGTCTACGCTGCAAACTGGTACGGAAATAAAAACATAATGGCTCATGTAATTATTACACTTTGTCAAAAACCATTGACATTGAATGCTTGCAGTTTCGCTCATGTCTCAGTTGACATTTTTATAAAGGTATATTTTTTTTTTCTTCCAAACAATATCCTGGTAAAAAATAATTATTATCTTAATCACACCCAGTTAGACTTATACAAATGGAAAAGGTATAAAATCTTACTGTGTTGATTATTTTTTTCCAGGTAATTATTTAGGTTAAAATAAATTTATTGGCTGAAAAATTTTTTTACTCAGGTTCTTAATACGACAGTCTCATACTTTTTCTTGTTACAAACTTTAGATGAATGACATTTATTTGGATGGCAAATTATGTAGAAGTTTATTAAATTGATATAAAATAAGTACATTAATTTGAAATGTTACTACCTTCCTTTATTTTAAGTTTAAAGTAAGATAAATATTCTATTATTGAAAAAGTTTTTAAAATACATGTTTGTAAAAAATATTTTAAACTCACTTTAACAATCACATAGTTCCTACAACTGCAATAAAAACCTCCACAGAAAACTTATAAATATATAACTATGACAAAATATCATCTAATAAATGTAACACAATATATTTTGATATTCCAAATGAATTAATATCGATAATACAGTAACGAACGAATTAATTAAAATCACGAAAGACTCCTCAAATACATAAACCAAATATCTATTTCATAATCAAGTATGAAGATGTAAACAATTTTATGGTTTTTCTAACGAAATCGAGCGTTGCCTTTCTAATTTTTGGAAAGGCTGGGCCTGATTGTAATGCAGATAACACCATATTGTTACAGTTTCATAACCGGAACAAACCTTGAAAAGTGATCGGATCTAATTTTCAGATCACATCACTATATGGGGCAAATCATATGAAAGACCGAATTTTCGATCAAATAATCAGTCCAAGTTTACTCTTAGTAGTGCCCAGTTTCAAGTTTTGTTCTGTTGGCCCAGTAATTGTACTCCGGTTCCTCGCTGTTAGAGAAGATCCTTCTGGTTTACCTGGTACACCCTGATCCGGTCAAAAAGTTACCATAAACCTGAAGACCCCCATTTTATTGCGGCCCGACTCTAAACCCAGATATTGTGCTGTCTGCAAGTTTTGAGAGTCTTACCACAATAAAATAACAATTTCAATCGGCACCTCGGAAAACCCAGAGGTTAGTAATTAAAAATATATATAGTAATCATTATCTCTAATATAGTAATTAAGTAAACAACAAAACTACCACTGTAAACATTTTGTATTAAACTATTATTTTTCTTTGTTAATATATTGGGTTAAAAGAGAATCATTATTTATTTTATTTTATTATAAACCTGGTTACATCAAAATTAGGGAAGGTCAAGTGCATTTTAGAATAGACAAACTTCTCTCGAGAGGTGATTACCACCCGCTGCTTACTTTCACTATTTGAGCCCCCGAGTCAGTATACATTGCCACGCTTCTGACTCACTAATACATACCTATAGTAAAAAGGGACATCAATAAACGTATCTGTATCTTTACCGCTCGAGATACTCAGGTACACGGTAATAAGGAAAGGTAAACACTTTCTTTTATTCTCGTTAAAAATAACAACTACACACTAAGAAAATTAACTGTCGATCGTGACAATACCAACAAAAATACTTTATTAACTAACCTTTATTTCTCAAAATATTTATAATTAAATCACATACGAACAATTTTTAGTCACAAAACTTGCACTAAGTAACTAATCGAATCAATTTAACCAGTAAAAGTATAATAAAATATCCCATCGATGACGACAACAAGTAACTTTTGGGATGACTTGCACAAGTTGACGATCGGGTTGAGACTGACGCAGGAAACGCATTATAAATTTACCGATCAATAAATAAAAGATTACAATAATCAGGTAACTCTATACATGAGCTTTTTTTACATTAAATTGATACAATGTAAAAGAGTATATTTCCATATGCAACATTTGCTACAAGAAAATAAATTGTTTTTATACAATACATTGGATACTGCGTAGTCGGAAATTACCCGATGCAATTTGTAGATTATCTACCTACGGATACATTGTAAAGATGACTGAGAATAATGTATCTGATTATATTACATACCGTGAAGTTACTAAAAAGCTTATGACCATTATCGGACTTTGGCCGTATGAAAATTCAAGTTTCTTCTATCGACTAGTGCCATACATTCAAATATCCTTAAATTTGGGAATGGCGTTAGCAATTTTTGGTTTTGTGCTTGACCATTTTCCAAATATTGGCCTGGTAACTCGCGGCTTGAGTATTATGACTAGCTTCATTACAGTTATCTTGAAGGTATTTACCAATAAATCAGTAGAAAAGTATATTAATTATTGTGTTATTTAATTCAGGTCGTTTGTTTAGTGATAAACCAAAAAGAATTAGTAGAGTTGCACACGAATCTTGACCCGTATTTTGACAAACTATTGACGAATTCAAAACTTACCAAAATTGTGCTGAAAAAAGTTAAAGCTTACAGATTTTTATCATGGACATTAACGTTTTGTGTTTTTACTTGTCTGGCAGCGTACATTATCGGCCCGTTAGTGTACATAACCAATTGTTATTTCAATAAAATTACGATTACTAAATACCCGCTGGTATATCCGAGCGGTTATCCGTGGAAAATACCTTCCAATGGATTTGTCTATAAAATACACTTTATTTTTGAAACGCTAGCTACGTCAGCTCTATTTTTTGTCACCTGTAGCGTCGACTCGTTATTTACATTATACGTTTTTCAAATGGTCGCGCAACTACGCGAAATGTCTTATTGCATTACACACATTGAAAACGAAGATGATCGCCAGGAGGTGGTGTGCAAATGTGTTAATCAGTATGAGAAGTTAATGAGGTCTAAATATATTCTTGAGAAAATTTATGGACCTACAATTTTGTGGATCATGGGAACAAATGCAATTGTACTTTGCGCGTTGTTATTTCAAGTTTCACAGGTATGGAATTTATTGAAAGCTTAAAATTCGTTAGTGAGAATGATTAATGATTTCAGATGAAAAGTATTTCGATTATACGAGGAATGTTAATTGGTGCATACGTTGGAATTAAAGTAACACAGACATTCATGTATGCTTATGGCGGATCAAAAATAACAGAAGAGGTAATTTTTAAACAAGCACGGTGGAAAAAAAAATGTTGAAAAAGAATAATAAATTTATGTTAATTTAAAAATAGAGTGAATATTACAGAAATGCTGTGTACGCTGCAAACTGGTACGGAAATAAAAAATTAATGGCTTATGTCATAATTACTCTGTCTCAAAAACCATTGATATTGACAGCTTGCAATTTTGCGTACGTCTCAGTCGATATTTTTGTAAAGGTATATAATTTTTTTAACTTTCTTAATTACACCTCCTTAAAAAAAGTCTGAATAAGAAGTTAATAATTTTTTTTAGGCAATTGATTACCTTAAAATAAATAAATTAACTAATAAATTTTTTTCTCAGGTTCTTAATACGACAATTTCGTACTTTTTCTTATTACAAACTTTGGATGAATGATATTTATTTAGATGGTCTATAATGTAGAATTTATTAAATTAATAAGATGAGTAATATATTTGAATGATTATTTTCTTTTTTTTTTTTTTTAATAACTTTACAGTAAAATAAATACTTTAGCATAAAAAAAAAAAGTTCAAAAATGTACACTTGGAAAAAAAATTTAAAACTCACTGTGACAAGCAACTAATTTATAGAACTATAATAAAAGTTTCGCATTTGAAGGGTAAAAAAAAAGAATCAAACTCAAAACTATGACAAAATAACAAAGATTGTATAGTCTAGCTTTTATCGAGCTATTAAATTATAAGTATAACAAGCGTCTATAATATCAACAGTGTCATCATAGTTACCTGAGGTATTAAAAAATAGTTCCACAAAATCCATTAGCAACAATTAAAAACTTTTATCCGTAAAAATGAATTTCTGCTTGACTACAAACTAGCTATAGGACTCCCGATAACTCTATCACTTATAAACTTGTCCGTCAACCCTTTCAAGCGAACAGGCAGATTGAGACTGTCGCTCCGGCAACCATAAAAAATTTTCCGATCAATAAAAAAACTATTACCTCAACAGAGAATAATTTTTTTCCTCGAGCACTATCTCCCAAATCGATTTAAACATCACGAGATGCACCTGGCTTCTACACATACTTTTGTTTTCTGAAAAGTATTCTTTTGTGCCATATTCACTGCAATTTCCCCTCTACATTTTATTGCTTCTCCAGCAGTTTAACTTACCACTCGTTCTATACTTTTCTTTTCTATCTCTTCCTTTCGTTATTTTTTGTTCAAACTACCAACAAAATGTTCAAAATAAAAATATCTAGTTACTTCATATTCCGCGAAATCATAAAAGGACCATTGATGGCTTTAGGTTTTTGGCCAAGTGAGAATCCCTCGTTACCCTATCGCCTATTATCTTACATACAGTTACCGCTAAACTTCGGAATGTTTCTCGCGATATTCAATTTCGTCCGGTTGTACGCCCATAACATGGCACTTCTAACGAAAAGCTTCGGTGTTATGACCACTTATCTGTCAACGACTCTCAAGGTAAAGACAGAATCTATTATCAAGAAAAAATAGACATAAAATTTTTTCTTTAAGATAACATGCTTTTTGATAAATCGTAAAGAAGCGTTAGAACTTCATCGTATTTTAGACCCATATTTTACAAAATTAGCCCAAGACCGTCAGATGAAAAAAATTATTTTCAAAAAATTCACGTCGTTGAAACTAATAACCTGGTTGTTTTTCTTCTGTGTCTTTATTACCTTGTCGGCAATGATTGTCACGCCACTGATAGATATTGCAATGCAGCATCATAAACCTGGAAAAAGTATTAAATATCCGTTGATATACCCGAGCAGATATCCATGGCAAACATCCTCAAATGGATGGGCATACAAACTGACGTATCTTTTTGAATCGCTGGCGACAACATCTCTCTTTTGTATAACATCGAGCGTCGATTCGTTGTTTTTGTTTTATATTTTCCAAATAATTGGACAATTGAGGGAAATGGGTTACTGTATAACCCACAGAGATGGATACCATGAAAAAGGTAAAGATTTTGTTATACGCAGAGCAGTGTATCAATATCAAATATTGATCAGAGCAAAACAAATAATTGAGAAGATTTATGGTCCAATAATTTTATGGATAATGTGCACAAATGCAGTCATAATGTGTGTCTTCATTTTTCAATTCATGCAGGTACTGTATTTGTATATTATTTTTTCTTTATGATGATCATTTAATGAGACGTTTATTTGCAGATGAAAAATTTACCGCTTGTGAGATTGATGATCATTTTCACATACATTCTGTCAAAAGTGCTACAAACGTTCATATACGCTTGGAGTGGCACCTGTTTGACGGCGGAGGTAATATCATCAAAAATGAAAAAATTGAAAACTTAATCTTTAACTTGAGAGATTTGTTGCGACAGAGCGAAGATTACAGAAGAGCTGTATACAATATTGATTGGTATGGAAATAAAAAGATTATGAGCTCAATCATAATAATGATGGCGCAAAAACCGATGATTGTTACTGCTCTTAATTTCTCCACTGTCACTGTTGATATTTTTATTATGGTAAAATATTTTTGTTTTATAATTTACTATACTTAATATGATTAATTTAATAAGTAATTAATTATCTTTTTCTTGCATAGGTTATGAAAACAACTATTTCGTATTTTTTCCTTCTTCAAACGCTCGAAGAAAAATAATATCTTTGTTATATATGATAAGTAAATTTTGTTATATTTTTGAGTAATTAATCATAATAGTATTTTTGGTGAATAAAAAATTATCTACTAATAATTGTTTATTAAATAATATTTACTACTTTTTATTTTATAATATAAAGAGCTATTAGATGAACATTTGTTTACTTTTGAAACTCGAACACTTATTTTTTAGTAATATCATCAGTCATATATTTATAATAACAACTATAATTTAGCAATAATCAAACAAAAATATATGCTCACCATTTGATCCTCGGAATAATTTTTTGTGTTGTAAGTTCAACTTTTAAAAACACACTTAACGTTCAACTTCATATTACGTCAAAATAATACACCAGCTACCCTCAATAATTAAAAATATTCTACCTTAGTATTTTTTTTAATTATAAATCCTCAAAAAATGTAGAGAGAAAATTATATAAAATACTCGACAGTCTATTCTGTATGGACAACTGAAAAAAACTAAATAGATGAATCGTCCAAGAGGACGGTTGGATTAAAACTGAAGCGTCTATTCGGTGTACGAATTTTCCGATCGATAAAAAAAAATTATAGTAATAATACATTACGCATAATGTTATGTAAGTCTTAAACTTCGAAAAGTTTGTTCACTTTACGAAGAGTCACCTATAATTTCGACTGTATAATATTTTTTTCGAACTTTTTTATACAATATCGAAAGAAAAAAGTCATCTAATATTATCAGCGTAAGTGCAACTCGAGTTACGCACGCGATCGACTTCTTTGTCTTTGAAATATGGCTAAAAATGGAATATCAGATTATAGAGCGTTTCATGATCTCACTAAAAGACTATTAACAGTCGGCGGACTGTGGCCTTACAGTAATTCAAATATATTATATCGACTTTTACCATACATACAAATTTTTTTAAATCTAGCAATGGCATTAGTTGTCTTTGGCTTCGTCCTAGAACATTTTTCAAACGTCGCTGTTGTTACCCGAGGCTTAAGTAGTATGACGAGTTTCGCCTCAGCTATATTAAAGGTGGCTATTATTTATCATACACAATATAAATAGTTAACTAAAATCATAATTATAAGTAATTTTTTTATGTTTAATCTCAAAGGTGGTGTGTCTTATAAGAAAACATAAAGAGATAACGGAACTGCACAAAAATTTGGATCCGTATTTTGAGAAATTGTTGGAAAATGAAAAAATGTTAGAGCATATTTTAAAAAAAGTAAACATCTTCAGATTGCTATCAGGAGTTCTAACTCTCACGGTCTTTGCAGTCATCGCATTTCAAATTATCGCTCCACTGATCTTCATAATCAATTGCAAGGTTCATCATGTTGAAATAAAGAAATACCCGCTGATATACCCCGGAAATTATCCGTGGAATATTCCCACAAGTGGATTTTTGTACTTAGCCCATTTTACACTAGAAACATTTGGGACATTTGCATTATTTTTTGTAACAACGAGCGTGGATTCGTTATTTACGCTTTATAGTTTCCAAATAATTGGCCAACTGAGGGAAATGTCTTATTACATCACGCATATTGACAGCGATGACGATAGTGGAAAATACATTTTTCACAGTTGTATAATCCAGTATCAAAAATTAATCAAATGTGTCAATCTTATGGAGGCTATTTACGGTCCCGTCGTACTTTGGATGATGGGCACAAATGCTATTGTACTTTGTGCTTTATTATTTCAGATATCAAAGGTATACAATAAGTGTATTTAAAAACAAAATTAATAATGTGAAGCTCTAAATTCAATTGAAACTTACAGATGAAAACTATAACAATTATTCAAGGCTTTATGTTTACATCATATGTAATATTAAAATTAGTACAAACATTTATGTATGCATGGAGTGGTTCTTGTTTAACAGAAGAGGTAAACAAAAGAGAAATTAATCATTGTATATCATAATCTTAATCAACGACTATTTTTTAATAGAGTGAAAATTACAAAGATGCTGTTTATTCTTCTAACTGGCAGGGAAAAAAACCTTTTATGGTTTTAATTGTCATGTGTTTAAGTCAGCGACCTTTAGCTATAACTGCATGCAACTTCTCAATTGTTTCTCTGAGAATGTTTATTTCGGTACTTAAACAATTGGCCTATTAAGAAAAGTTTCTATCTATGGTAACATCGATGTTCCTTCGATGTTACAATTGGCGGAAATTTTTTTAATCGACTGTTCAATTATTTTTTTCTTTATTTTCAGGTTGTAAACACCACGATTTCTTATTTTTTTCTATTACAAACGCTTGATAGCGAGCAATAAAAAATTTTTGATTCTCCACACAGAAGATCAAAAGTTAAACAACTTACAATTTTGAGTTCGATTAGCCAGTCAAGAATATTACCTTTTTGTAGCTAACACGGAATCATATGGAAATAATCCTTAATTAATCAAAGAGTGTTATTACAAGAAATAATGATGACTTACCAACTCAGGGAATCCCTTGTCTACTTGATAATCATCACATTAAGATCAATTAAAATTAATTAATTAGTATAGTGTTCACATCGTAATATTGTACTATACTCAATAATTTATCCTCTGATATCCAAATATGTTCAAATCATTATTTTGAATTGCTTATCTCTGAAATCATAAAAATGTTTAACATAAGTTATTGGTTCTATTAGCACAACAGCGTCGTAAATAATTTCAGACACTCATCACAAATATATATTTATAATAGTTTGATATTTAATGTACTGGTTTTGTTCAATAAATTATTTTTAATACACGAAGAGAATTTTATCGTAGCGTCAATGATCTATGTGTTTTAATTTTTACAATTTAAATAATGGCAACATGCCTAACTAGTACGAAAAAAATTGAAAAAATAATGACTTATTTCATTATTACACTTTTTCAAAAATATCACGGACATTAACGGCTTGCAATTTTCTTTATATCTCAGCCGGTATTTTTGTAAGGGTATAAAACTATTTTTTTTTTCGACCAAACGATTTCTTTGTAAAAAAAACTATCATTTCAATCGCATTCACTTAAAATTGTACAGATGCAAAAAGAACAAGGTCTTATGGTGAGTTAATTGTTTGTTTTCAAGTAGTTGTTCGCTTCAAAATAAATTTATTAGCTAAAAAACTTTCTGGTCAATTCTCTTAATAAATTCGTATACTAAAGGCATTATATGATAATTTTTCATATGGTTGCTTACACCTAAGTATGTCACTTGCCACGCACCAGATCTCCGAACTAACTCAGCGTCTCAAAAAATTGACTTAATTGTTAAAATTAGGCTGAGTTTATCAGCAAATGAAGAATCTGAGTGAATTATAGACACTTCAAATTAATTTTTCGCGATATTTAAGTCACTTAAATTCACATCGACGTTTTTGGTTCAGTCGAGAAGCATTTTAATTCACATAAAATATATTTCGCTTTTATTGAAGTTACTCAAATACAGACAAAAAATTCTTTTAATCATACAGAGGTTGTTCAAGTTCACGCTGTATTCCTTTATTCACCGGAAATGTTTCACAGGATTAGCAGAGTAATTTTTTTCCGGTTTTTGATCTTATCAAACACTTCAATGCATCCGGCTTTCAAAATTTGTCACTATTATTTTTGAATTGTTTCTTCAACAGGATATTACCACTAAATTTTTGACACAGTTCACTCAAATCACTAGCTGGATGACAACCACATTGGGCGCCAAAATTTCAGTAATGTGTAAGCTGACACTCGTACTTGTTGCATGTAACGTATAAAAAATCCAAACTGGCTTAGCGCCTCTAAAAAGTGAATCAATTTTTTCTTCACTATAAATTAGCTATAGGACTTCCGAGAATTCTATCAACTATAAAGTGATTCATCAACCCTTTCACGCTAACAGACAGATTAAGACTGTCGCTACGGCCAGCATAAAAAAAATTTTTCGATCAATAAAGAAACAATTATCACGAAAGAAAATAATTTTTTCCTTGAGCTCTATTTTCCAAATTAATAAAAAATTATCACGAGGTGTACCAGGCTTTTAACATGATTTTGTTTTCTGAAAAGTATTCTTTCGTGTCATAAGTACTGCAACTAGCTCTCCACATTGTATTGCTGGAGCAGCACTCCAGTAGTTAAACTTATTCTTTTCTGTCTTTTAACTTTTCATTTAAGCTACCAACTTAATGTTTAGAATAAAAATTTCCAGTTATTTGATCTTCCGTGAAATCATCAAAGGCCTATTGACTTCCGTCGGTTTTTGGCCTAGGGAGAATCCTTCATTACCCTATCGTCTACTATCTTACATACAGCTACCGCTAAACTTCGGAATGTTTCTCGCGATATTTAATTTCGTCCGGTTATACGCTCATAATTTGACAATTCTAACAGAAAGCTTCAGTATTTTGGGCTCATATTTGTCAACAAGTTTCAAGGTAAAGATAAAATCTATTGTCTAAAAAAAATATACACAAATTTTCTACTTCAAGGTAACATACTTCTTAATAAATCGCAGAGAAATATTAGAGCTTCATCGTACTTTAGATACATATTTCACAAAATTAGCCGAAGACCGTCAGATGAAAAAAATTATTTTCAAAAAATTTGGGATGTTCAAATTTCTAAGCTGGTCATTTTCCTTCGGCGTATTTATGACCTTATCGACATTGGCTATCCAGCCATTGGTTGATATGGCAATTGAGCATCGTAAGTCTGGAAAAACTGTTAAATATCCGTTGATATTCCCGAGCAAATATCCATGGCAAACGTCCTCAAACGGATGGGCATACAAACTGACCTATCTTTTTGAATCACTGGCGACAACATCTCTCGTTCTTATAACAGCAGGCATGGATTCGTTGTATTTGTTTTATATTTTCCAAATAATTGGACAGTTGAGGGAAATGGGTTACTGTATAACCCACACAGATGGATACAATGAAAAAGGTAAAGATTCAGTTATACGCAGAGCAGTGTATCAATATCAAATATTGATCAGAGCAAAACAAATAATTGAGAAGATTTATAGTCCGATTATTTTGTGGGTAATGTTCTCAAATGCAGCAATTATGTGTGTCCTCATTTTTAAAATCATGCAGGTACTGTATTTTTTTTAATTATGTTCAGTTTATGATAATTTAATCGGAAATTTATTTGCAGATGACAACTATATCGGCTTTGAGACTGACAATGATGTTCGCATACGTTGTAGCTAAAATGCTACAAACGTTTCTTTACGCATGGGGCGGGACAGCACTGACGGTGGAGGTAATATTATAAAAAATGGAAAAATTTAGAACTTCATCTCGATAGTTATTTGTTGGGGCAGAGCGAAGATTACAGAGAAGCTATTTACAAAATCAATTGGTACGGAAGTAAAAAGATTATGAATTCAGTCATAATAATGATGGCGCAAAAACCAATGATTGTAACTGCTCTTAAGTTTTTAACTGTTGATGTCAATATTTTTGCTGCGGTAAAATATTTCATGTTTTATTAATTTATGGTATGATTAATGAGAAAGTAAAACACTTTTTATTATCACTTAGGTTTTGAAAACTACTATGTCCTATTTTTTCCTTCTCCAAACTCTCGAAGAAAAATAACATCAGTGTTATCTATAATAGTATAATTTTTAGAAAATAAAACGTTCAGTATATTATTTTGTATTTAAATTGATGAAAAAAATCAAACTATTGTTCAGAAAATTCTAAAATTTTGAATAAAAATGACCAATTCTTCACTTACAAGTAAACAATTTTTGTTAACTACAGTTCACTTTTGAAACTATAACACTTATTTATCAATAATATCATTATTTTTATTTTTTCAATGCCAATAAAACAAAAAATTATGCTCACTATTTTATGATCGAAATAAATTACTTATTATTTTGTTCGATCCGTCTTTAGAAATGACTTAAAGCTTATAATCAGATAAAAATTACTAATATTTCACGGTAGTATTATTAAAATTTAAAATTCTTATAAAACGAAACAAAGAAAACGCATTGAATACTTTAAAGCTAGCAGATAGAAAACTACAAAACTGAATAGATGGATCATTCAAGTCGACGGTTGGATTAAGACTGATGCTTCTGCACTGTGTATAAATTTTCCGATCAATAAAAAAAAATTATAATAACAACAATTGGACAATAAACATAATTTAGTTTAATATCTTACAAAACTTAAACTCACATAAAAGTTTATACACTTTACGCAAATTTATGTATAATTTCGATTGTATAAAATAATTTTGTTTGTAAACTTTCATACAGTATCGATGAAAAACAAATTATCGAACATTATCAGAGTTTGTGCATTTTGAGTTAAACACGCGATCGACTTCTTTGTCTTTGAAATATGGCTAAAAGTGGAATATCAAATTACAGAGCGTTTCATGATCTTACTAAAATATTACTAACAATCGGTGGACTATGGCCGTACAGTAATTCAAATATATTATATCGGCTTTTATCGTATGTACAGGGGTTTTTAAGTCTGGGAATGACATTAGTTGTGTTTGGTTTTATTTTAGAAAATTTTTCTAACGTTGCTCTTGTTACACGGGGCTTAAATGTCATGACAAGTTTTACCTCAGCCGTACTGAAGGTTACAGTTTTTTATTGTACACAAAATAACAAGTGAAATCATCTCACAATTATAATTAATTTTTTTGTATTTCAACTCAAAGGTGGTGTGTCTTATACTGAAACATAGAGAGATGGAGGAACTGCACAAAAATTTGGATCCGTATTTTGAGAAATTGTTGGAAAATGAAAAAATGTTAGAGCATATTTTAAAAAAAGTAAACATCTTCAGATTGCTATCAGGGGTTCTAACTCTCACGGTCTTTGCAGTCATCGCATTTCAAATTATCGCTCCACTGATCTTCATAATCAATTGCAAGGTTCATCATGTTGAAATAAAGAAATACCCGCTGATATACCCCGGAAATTATCCGTGGAATATTTCCGCGAGTGGATCTTTGTACTTAGCCCATTTTACACTAGAAACATTTGGGACATTTGCATTATTTTTTGTAACAACGAGTGTGGATTCGTTATTTACGCTTTATAATTTCCAAATAATTGGCCAACTGAGGGAAATGTCTTATTACATCACGCATATTGACAGCGATGACGATAGTGGAAAATACATTTTTCACAGGTGTATAATCCAGCATCAAAAATTAATCAAATGTGTCAAACTTATGAAGGCTATTTACGGTCCAGTCGTACTTTGGATGATGAGCACAAATGCTATTGTACTTTGTGCTTTATTATTTCAGATATCAAAGGTATACAAAAAATTTATTTTAAAACAAAATAAATATTGTGAAGCTCTAAATTCAATTGAAAGTTACAGGTGAAAACTATAACAATCATTCAAAGCGTTATGTTTACGCCTTATGTGATATTACAATTATTGCAAACGTTTATATACGCTTGGTGTGGTTCTTGTTTAACAGAAGAGGTAAGCAAAAACAAATGAATCATTGTAAATTTCTGTTCAAATCATCGTATAATTTTTCAATAGAGTGAAAATTACAAATATGCTGTTTATTCTGCTAATTGGTACGGAAATAGAATTCTGATGAGTTCAGTAGTGATAATAATAACGCAGAAGCCGCTGGCTATAACAATTTTTAATTCTTCAACTCTTTCAGTTAACAATTGTATTATGGTAATTACCCAACAATTACAATTTTTTTACTATGTCTGTACTAAAATTTTGAATCACTGTCCGGCTGTGTGGAAATTATACTTTTGTTTCATACGAAAAGTCAAAGGAAAATTTTCAAGATTATTTTAGTTTTTTCGAAACAACATTAACAAAATTTTATTATACAGATTTTTGACACAGCAATTTCTTACTATATTTTGTTACAATCACTTAATAACAAGGAATTAAAGTCTTGAATAGACGTTGACCCATTAATGAATGGAAAAAGTGCAGGACTAAAAATTCTTGATTGTAAGTATCATGAATTGTGAATATTGAATGATTTATTTCCAGTTACCAAAATTATCAATAAACTTTCTGTTAGGAACTCGCCCGATGTTGGTGATTATTTTCATCAAGACGTAGCCGAAGAAAACTGTAAGGGAATGTTGAAATTATTTTCCCGATGATTATTAAATCCACGCTGTTGATACATTATTTATTTATTTATTCATTCATACGCCAATCGGCTTTATACATTAGATTTACATCAATTATTTTTGGTTATGGGTGAAAAAAGAAAATAAAAATAAAAATATGTGATTAGAGTATTTAACATTTCAATAGAATTAAATTTAAATTAAGTTGTATTAAATTAATTTCATTTACTTTATAAGTTTAAATTATTAATATTAGGGGAGGGGGGGGGCAAAATGGGGTACTTAAGCAATCGTTATGATTTTAAGGACTTAAATACGCTGATTTTTCTCGTTTTCAGTCGTAATTAGAGATAGATAATCAAATTCCAAGTTGCCGTAGAAAAAAAATTTTTTTTTTTTGCGGGCAAAATGGGGTACTCTCTGAAAGAGTAAAAAAAAATTTCTTCATCCGAAAATGAAATATCGTTAAAAAAATAATATTTTCTTATCGATAAGTCTACGAAAGAACCCAAAGAGAGGAACAAATCACCCAAAAAAGAAACATTGTTAGTTGAAGCAATATATTCCTAACAAAAATTGAGGTAGTAAAAAAAATTTTTCTTACTACGCTGGTCGAAAGTACGGGGTTTCTGTTGCGATTTCACTGCAGAAAGCCTGACATTTATGCCGTGGTCGAGTCACGCATGCGCTTTACGACGGGGAGCCGAAAAAATGTATTCATGCACTGACAACGAGACACGAGGCGGCAGAAAGTCCGAAAGTCGGTAGTCGCGCTCACTCTATTACTTATGTTTACAAGCCTAACCTTACTTGTGATTGTTATGAATGTATCTGTCTTGTTATGTGTCAATGATTTGAGGTTGAAACTGAGTTAATTACAGAAAATGAATATTTATTTTAATGAAAATTAAAGTAGTAGATATTTAATAAATTTTAGAATTAAAAAAAAATAAATTAGTGCAAAAAAAAAAAATTAGAAAAAAAATTGAAATGTAGAAATTTTAAAAAATTAAAAAAGCAATTTTTTATAAATAATTTTTTAATAGAAATTTTTATAAGCTTTTTTTTCATTATAATTTGTATAAAAATTAAAAAAATTGACAGCTATCAGCTAACTTCAGTATAATAGTAAAATAATCAAGTGCTTCCCTCTACAAAGTTTGCCGTCTCCGAGTCTGGCCTTTATTTAATGGCTGCTTGAAGATTTCATCGTAGCCATATTCTACTGTGTTTTAAGGAAAAAAATCACAGACGGTAATTATTGTTTTATTAATAAAATAACACTAATTAGTAAAGAAAAAACTCCCAACTGTAGTGACAGGCAATTAAGAGAATTTTTTTAATCAGTGAAGCTAGTTTTGATTGACAAATATTACCACTTAGAGTAGCTGTGATATCGATTAGGTAATCAGCATGAGAAAATTTCGCGATAACAATTATTAATAATAAATGCAATGGTCAAGATGTTATGTTGAGTTTTAATTAATAAATTAACATGAATTGCAACATCGGAAAAATTGAGTGTATAAATGAATGAAATTAATTATATTTGATAAACTATCGATTTTTCAGACAATGGCTGGGAAGCTCTTGGTGACGTGCTTGAGGCTCAACAGCCGAGTCGTGCCGTCGAGGATGATGTCCAGCGTACATCATGAGGAGGTTCCTTTTGTGCCACCGTACGTTAAGAAAATCGGCAAACGTGAAATACACACACACACACACACACACACACACACACACACACACACACACACACACACACACACACACACACACACACGCACACGCACACCCTGATAGAAATCTTCGTAGGAGTATCAAGAGCTACTTCCTAGGACCTTAAAAATGTGGAGATCAGATTAGAACGATTTTCGAAAACTGGCATGGAACCAATAACTTCGCGATTTTTTTTTTTTAATCATTTATTTGTAAAGTGAGAACTTAAAAATTTAGAAAAAAAAAATCTTAGATGTGAAAGAAATTATTATGGTGCAAAATGACGATAATAAAAATTACTGCACAATAAAGAATTTTTCGTCAATGTGTAAAGTGTAAAAATTTTTGTGTAGCAAATTACACTCTAGTGTGTATAATTTTACATTCTCATGTGTTGATTTAACACACTAGAATGTAGAATTAACATTAGTTTGTGTAAAAACAGTCAGTAACACAAATATTTGTGTTAAATTTGACGAAAATTTTTTTACTGCATGTAAAAAAAATTAGAAAAAAAATTTTTTTTAATTAAAAAATTTTTTCTCCTCTGAAATCGTACGAAATGATGTTAAAATATATTTTAGAAAGCTAAAAAAGCTTTTTGGAAAAAAAAATTTTTTTTACGAAATTTTGGGGGTACCCCATTTTGCCCCCCCCCCTCCCCTATATAAAAAAAATATAAAAAAATATCTCTAAGAGTAGTTATTTCTAGATGAAATGAAATTGCACTTTTTAAGAGGCTAGTGGTTATTGGTTATTGGTTAGTGGTTAGAAGCAGTCTTTTAACCGATGATACAAACGATGTGATCGAGATGTCAAATAATTCAAGGTGCGAGCAATTATCATTGATTAGATTAGCGATCCTATTCCTCGGGCTATTATATATATAACTTTTGGTAGTTTTAATTGTCTCTATTAGTCGATTTGCTCTTATAACAGTTATAACACAATTTACTATAAAAATGTATAATCAAACACAGTATTTAAATGGAATATATATTAATTGTTCTTAATTCCAGCGATTTTCAATCTTATCAAACACTTCAATACATCCTGATTCAAAATTTGTCACTTTTATTTATCGAAATGTTTTTTCAACAGCTGCATATTTATTACCACTCAAATTTTCACACAGTTCACTCAAATCACTGACTAGGTAATAACCACGTTAGGCGCAAAAATGTCAGTAACGTATGAGCTGACACTTGTACTTACTACATGTAACGAATAAAAATGTCAAACTGGCTCAGCGTCTATAAAAATTCAATTAATTTTCAAAAATTGAGCTGAGCCAGTCAGTGAAGCATTCTTCTATCCAAAGTCAACTTACTTCGCGACGAACACTTTTTATTGCACCAACAGAACTAGAAAACTTCTTTTAAGTGTCCTAATAAACAAAAAATAATCTTGATGCAACACAAGATTTCCCACATAGCACATTGATGCTTGACTCCCAGGTAAAAATGTTTCATCCATGTCATGTGCGAGTCCAATCCTACAAACTTGTTCATCAAACCTTCTACGCCAGCAGACCAATTAAGACTGTTGCTCTGACGAACATAAAAAATTTTCCGATCAATAAAAAAACTATTATTGAGACAGAAAGTGATTTTTTCCTTGAGCTCTATTTCCCAAATCGATTGAAATATCACGAAATGTACCTGGTTTCTACATATACTTTTGTTTTCTGAAAAGTGTCCTTTCAAATCATATTTACTGTTATTTGCCCGCTACATTTTATTGCTTCTCCAGCAGTTTAACTTACAACTCGTTCTATACTTTTCTTTTCTTTTTCTTCGTTTCGTTATTTTTTGTTCAAACTACCAACGAAATGTTGAAAATAAAAATATCTAGTTACTTCATATTCCGTCAAATCATTAAAGGACTAACGATGGCTTCCGGTTTTTGGCCCAGTGAGAATCTCTCGTTACCTTATCGCCTATTATCTTACATGCAGTTATCGCTAAACTTCGGAATGTTTCTCGCGATATTCAATTTCGTCCGGTTATACGCTCATAGGCTGGCACTTCTAATAAAAAGCTTCGGTGTTATGACCACTTATCTGTCATCGACTCTCAAGGTAAAGACAAAATCTATTATCAAGAAAAAATAAACATAACATTTTTTCTTTAAGATAACATGCTTTTTAATAAATCGTAAAGAAGCGTTAGAACTTCATCGTATTTTAGACCCATATTTTACAAAATTAGCCCAAGACCGTCAGATGAAAAAAATTATTTTCAAAAAATTCACGTTGTTGAAACTAATAACCTGGTTGTTTTTCTTCTGCGTCTTTATTACCTTGTCGGCAATGATTATCACGCCACTAATAGATATTGCAATGCAGCATCACAAACCTGGAAAAAGCATTAAATATCCGTTGATATACCCGAGCAAATATCCATGGCAAACATCCTCAAATGGATGGGCATACAAACTGACCTTTCTTTTTGAAACGCTGGCGACAGCATCTCTCTTTTGTATATCATTGAGCGTTGATTCGTTGTTTTTGTTTTATATTTTCCAAATAATTGGACAATTGAGAGAAATGGGTTACTGTATAACCCATACAGATGGGTACAATGAAAAAGGTAAAGATTTTGTTATACGCAAAGCAGTGTATCAATATCAAAGGTTGATCAGAGCAAAAGAAATAATTGAGAAGATTTATGGTCCGATTGTTTTATGGATAATGTGCACGAATGCAGTAATAATGTGCGTCTTCATTTTTCAATCTATGCAAGTACTGTATTTGTTTATTATTTTTAGTTTATGTTGATCATTTAATGAGACGTTTATTTGCAGATGAAAAATTTACCGGTTGTGAGATTGATGATGATTTTCACGTACGTTCTGTCAAAAGTATTACAAACGTTTATATACGCTTGGAGTGGCACCTGTTTGACGGCGGAGGTAATATTATCAAAAATAAAAAAAAATAAAATAATAACTTCATCTTGAGAAGTATTTGTTCCGACAGAGCGAAGATTACAGAGAAGCTTTGTACAATATTGATTGGTATGGAAGTAAAAAGATTATGACCTCAATTATAATAATGATGGCACAAAAACCGATGATTGTTACTGCTCTTAATTTTTCCACTGTTACTGTTGATATTTTCACCATGGTAAATATTTTTTGCTTTATAATTTATTATATTAGTATGATTTAATCAGTGAGAAATCTTTTTATCTTGATTAGGTTATGAAAACAACTATTTCGTATTTTTTCCTTCTTCAAACCCTCGAAGAACAATAATAACGGTCTTAATATGTATGATAAGTACATTTGTTATATTCTTAAGTAATTAATTATAGTAGCATTGTTTTTAGTAAAGAAAAAAAATAACCAATTCTGTACTTGTAAGTCATAAATGAATGTTCACTTTTCAAATTTGAACACTTATTTTTCACTTATATCATCATTCTTATCTTACTGATATCAACTATAATTTAATAATCATAAAACATGAAAACATGTGCTCACCATTTTATCCTTGAAATAATTCATTGTATTGTAAATTACATTTTTTAAAAATCATTTGACATTCAATTTAATATCACATCAAAATAATACACAGAGGCCGAATGATAACAAATATTTTACGGTATAGTATTTTTTTTTTATCACAAATCTCCAAATAATGTAATAAGAAAATTAGATAAAATATTTAATAGATTTTTGGAAATAAACCACTAAATAATACCAAATAAATGAACTATTCAAGTTGACGGTTGTATTAGATCTGAAGCCTCTATTCAGTATACGAATTTTCCGATCAATAAAAAAAAATTACAATCATAATCATAACATACAACGCATAATATTATGTAAGTCTTAAACTTCAAAAAGTTTATATGCTTCACCCGAAGTCACTTTCCACTGCAGAATATAACTTTGTTTTAAAACTTTCTCATATAATATCGAAGGAAATAAAGTCATCTAACATTGATAAGATCTAATAAAATATAAAGAGATAACGGAACTGCACAAAAATTTGGATCTGTATTTTGAGAAATTGTTGGAAAATGAAAAAATGTTAGAGCATATTTTAAAAAAAGTAAACATCTTCAAATTGCTATCAGGGGTTCTAACTCTCACGGTCTTTGCAGTCATCGCATTTCAAATTATCGCTCCACTGATCTTCATAATCAATTGTAAGGTTCATCATGTTGAAATAAAGAAATATCCGCTGATATACCCCGGAAATTATCCGTGAAATATTCCCGCGAGTGGATTTTTGTACTTAGCCCATTTTACACTAGAAACATTTGGGACATTTGCATTATTTTTTGTAACAACGAGCGTGGATTCGTTATTTACGCTTTATAGTTTCCAAATAATTAGCCAACTGAGGGAAATGTCTTATTGCATCACGCATATTGACAGCGACGACGATAGTGGAAAATACATTTTTCACAGGTGTATAATCCAGTATCAAAAATTAATCAAATGTGTCAAACTTATGGAGGCTATTTACGGTCCAGTCGTACTTTGGATGATGGGCACAAATGCTCTTATACTTTGTGCTTTATTATTTCAGTTATCAAAGGTATACAAAAATTTTATTTAAAAACAAAATTAATAATGTGAAGCTCTAAATTCTATTGAAACTTACAGATGAAAACTATCACAATTATTCAAGGCATTTTGTTTACGTTATATGTAATATTGAAATTATTGCAAACGTTTATGTATGCATGGTGTGATTCTTGTTTGACAGAAGAGGTAAGCAAAAGCAAAATTAATCATAATATTTGCAATTTTAATTAACGATAACTGTTCGATAAAGTGAAAATTACAAGGATGCTGTTTATTCTGCAAACTGGCAGGGGAAAAAACATTTAATGAGTTCAATAGTAATAATAATTACACAGAAGCCGTTGGCTATCACAATTTTTAATTATTCAACTCTTTCTGTTAATAATTGTGTAACTGTAATTACAAACAATGTTCTTTTTTTTCATTTTATTTTCCTTGAAAGGTGTAATTACTGTCCTGCTTGGTCGGAAAATAAAATTTTTTTTTTTAATATGTTATAGCAAATAAATATAAAATTTTATATTACAGATTGTTGATACAGCAATTTCATACTATATTTTATTACAATCACTTAATAACAAGGAATTAAAGTCTTGAAATGACGTGGACCAATTGATGAATTGAAAAATTGCAGGAAAAAAATTTTGTTCATTGATTATTTTCACCAAGATGGAGCCGAAAATTGTACGGAAAGTATCCTAATATAAAATTGAGATGAAATATATGTGGCATCAAACTATTCGTAACGTGATTGGTCGAATATATCATAAGCATGAAAATATATGCAAACTCTATAGTCAAGGCGCGCGCTTGCGCGCGTAAATTCAATTCTAGTTTTATTAAAAAGGTTAATAATATTTTCCGACAATTATAAAGTCCATGCTGTTGGTACATTGTAAGATAATGTAGTACAAAAATTAAAAATGAAAAACTATAGTAACATTAACATTAACCATACATTAATTGCTATTATTTATTTTATACCAACTTAAAAATTTCCATTTTTGGATAAATAATTCAACTTCAAAAATATTTTACATTTTAACACCCTATAAAAATTTAATACATAAAATAAACCTCTTTTACTCCGTTCTTTAAAATAATAATTGAATAAATCAATTTCATACTATCTATAATTTTTATTCTCATAATTAACTGATTAATAATGATGCACACATATTTACCAAAAAAAAATTAGGAAAACGGTTGACCCTGAAGGCCATCCCTGCAACTTCCCGCCAATTCTATACCTAAACGCTTGAAATTGTACTTATGACGTTTTTGAGCTCTTCGAGCTCATAAATACTTGTGTGTTATTTTGAGCTCTGCAAGCTTAAAAAAATAGCTTTTGTATGCTTTTGAACTTTTCAAGCTCAAAATTTTCGAGGAGTTTGATAAAACACTATTTTTTGAATTTTCAAACCGCAATAACTTTTGAATGAATGAAACGATTTTCACGCAGTTGGTGGCATTCGACGCGATTTTTTAAGCTTCATGAAGATTCTTCAACTTTAAATTGATGGAACGAAAAATTTCGAAGTAATTTCGAAAAAACACTTTTTTCGGTTTTCTTTCGTCAACGATAACTCACGAACGAATCAATCGATTTTGACCGGACTGGCGGCGATCGACGTGGTTTTTTGCTGTTAAGAGCTGATTAGTTTTTGGAATCGATCGGTAAAGCCGTTTAAAAGTTATGCCAAAAAAACCACTTTTGAAAAAATTTTCAACTTAAGTTGAAAATTAAAAATTTTCAGCTAAGAAAATTAAAAATTTTCAAAAATCGGGAAGTTATTGGTTTTACCCCGTTTAGGAAGGGAAGCTTCCTAGGACCTCGAAACGTCGAGATTCGATGAAAACTCGATTTTCGTAAAACGGGTTGAAAACAATAACTTCCCGAGTTTTGAAAATCTTTGATTTTCTTAGCGGGAAGTTAAAAATAAAAAATACTCGTTAAATCTCACCCATGAAATAATTTTTAAACTTCAGCACACTATCAATGACCATTAACCATTACTATCAATGAGTATTACACGAACATTAGAAATAATTCGAAATCCCCAACCGCTTATGGGTTTATACCTGCTAGAACCTACCAATTGAATATATAAAGCTTCCCGGTCTATACAAACTGGCAGTTGAATTTGAACTAACGCTCCAATGATCACCCAACCCGAAATTTTAAAATCAATATCAAACTATCAGACTAATAACTAACAATTTTCTCTAAAAGCTTTTTTCATTAAATCGATTCAAAAATGATAGCCTTAACTAAGCATGCGCTAGATTTTATAACAAGTTGAAATGACTGGTGAACTTTTTAGGACACTTTTCAAACCATCAAAGCCTCTAACCCTTTACGAATTATTAATCAGGCTTAAATTTGTCCATTTATCTTATCATGAAGGAGAAAAAAGTTTCCGAGTACATTATCTACCGCGAAATAGTCAAAAAATTACTTATAGTCGTGGGTCTTTGGCCATATGACAATCCAAATATATTTTATAACTGCCTACCGCACATACAGATACTCATAAACTTTTTTTTATGCTTCGGGATGCTTGGGTTCGTGCAAAAAAATTTTACAAACATCGATCTTGTTACTAAAGGGATGAGCATAATGATAAGTCTCATGTCCACGATCATAAAGGTATCAATTATTAACAGTACACTGATAGAAGGATTTATTAACTATTAATAATTTAATTTATTTGCAGACAATTATTTAATTTATTAAATTTTAATAAATATTTTTTAACATTCAATAAATATTTCTTTGGGAGGAAAATGAATTTATTAATAATTAATAAGAATTTATTAATAGTTAACAAATATTTATTAACAGTTAATAAATATTTTGTTGAGTGAATTTGTTTTGCTTGCAATGTCATATGATATGAAAGTTGCTTATTAACAAAAATCATCTTTATAAATTATTTGCATTAATTATATTACATTACAATAATGTTTATTGTAAAATACCAAATTTCAACACAGCTCAGAATTATCTTTTAAATTTTTAAATATTAAAAACGTTAATTTATTTAATGAATTTAATTATTATCATGTATTCCAGCTATAGGGGTATAAAAAGTGTCAAAAGAAAATTGCTATTTATTTTAAATAAATATTTGTTAACAGTTAACAAATATTCATTAGCCATTAATAAATATTTATTAACTGTTAACAAATATTTATTAACATTTAATAAATCGTATTTAATAAATAGTTTATTAACTGCTAATAAATATTTATTAAATCCATTGATTTTAAAAAATTATTTATTAATAGTTAATAAAGCTTATTAAATTTAAACAAATCCTTCTATCAGTGTATAATCCATTTAAAAAATAATATGATAATAACAATAAAAAAATTATTTTGAAGGTTGCGTGCTTCATAGCAAACAAGGATGACGCAATCCAACTGCACAAAAATCTCGATCCATATTTCACGAGACTTTTGCAAGATTCAGAACTACCAAAATTTGTTTTAAAAAGATTTTCAGTTGTTAAATATTTATCTGCTGCATTTACTTTCATTGTTACATTGTCATGTGCAATGAGACTTATTATTCCATTGAATATTGTCATAAAACAACTTAAAAATAATATCCATCCGGTGAGATACCCGCTGCTTTTTCCCAGTGTGTTTCCGTGGAAAGTGACACCCGATAGTTATATTTATGAAATTGAGTTCGCGATAGAATCATTTGCAGTTGTGACACTGTGTTTTATAACTCTGAGCGTCGACTGTCTTTTTACGTTTTATGTTTTTCAAATGATAGGTCAATTGCGCGAGATTTCGTATTGTTTCAAAAATTTAACCGAAGAAAGTGACAGCCAAAGTATTCTACGGAAATGCATTGGCCAGTATCAAATATTGATAGAATCAAGAGACATGTTACAGGTAATTTTGTACAATGTATAAGCTATTGTATAATATAATAAAAAATTTCGTGATTTTAGCGGCTATATGGTCCCATTGTGTTGTGGATCATGGTTACGAATGCTGTTATTATGTGTACAATTGCTTTTCAAACAACGCAGGTAAGAAAGGTTTTTTCGAGCAATCTACACAGTAAAAAATTTTGCGTCATTGCGTCAAAAAATTTTGTGTTCAAAATTTTTATGTTAAATATTGAACACTTTTTTGTGTTGATTTAACAAAATAAATGTTAAATTTACACATAAAAGTGTTAAATTTTTAACACTGTTTTTTGACGCAATGACGCAAAATGTTTTACTGTGTATTACTTGATAATTATACTGATGATTTGGGAAAAAAATTTCCATAAGCTGCATCAGTTATCACAAATTGAATATTACTACTTAATTGATTAAAACTACAATCATTTAAAATGAAATTATCGAAAAAAAAATTTTTTTTAATTTTAATAATTTCAAAAAATTAAAAAAAGAATTTCTTTTTTATTTTTATAGATGGAAAGTATTTCTTTCGGACGTGGGCTACTAATTTTCACATGGATAGCACTCAAAGTACTACAGACCTTCATGTATGCTTGGAGCGGAAGTTGCCTCACCTTAGAAGTATTAAAAATATCTCTTAACATTTGAAAACCCAAAAAAATTTTATTTAAAAGAAAAATTATTAATTTACAGTCTGACGAATGTCGAGATTCTATTTACGCTTGTGAGTGGTATGGAAACAAACGTCTCATGACATCGATAATAATTATTTTGTCCCAACGACCGCTAATTTTGACAGCTTGCAATTTTTCGGTCGTCTCAGTTGAAATTTTTCAAATGGTTATAAACACAACTGTTTCGTACTTTTTCCTCCTCCAGACTCTCGAAGAATAAATAACTTAAATGGTTTTTTACAACGACACTGGTGTAATAAAATAAAATTTTTAGCAACAATTCTTTTATACGATGTGACGTTTTTTGTATTCTTAAATTCAAACATAAAAGACTGAAAATTTATTTGAATAGAATGAATGACTTATTTTTTGTAAAAGTCTTAGTATTTTTCCGCACAAAAATCGCAATTTAAAATTTATTATAATAAACAATTGTTACTGTCACTAATCTTCACAATATATACTTTCGGCACAATTATTCAGCTATTATTATTTTCAAGCAATTATTAGTCAAGATAAGTGATATTAAATATCACGAATAATTCCTTCTGTACTTTTTTTTCTCTTTACAAGTAAAAATACCTAGCAATTCATTCTATAACTGTAAATTTATCTTGGATTTCACGGTGTATATTTGTCGATTATAAATTCACATTCTCTACATTTCAAATCAGTGAACAATTACGCGACACTGCTCACTGCTTTAGCATTCACACCAAGATTTTAACGACGATAGTGACACTTTATTGCGCAAATGTGTTAATCAGAATCAGATAACGTGTAAATGTAATTTATGGCAATGCAATTATTGACCGATCGTAATATATCTTGTGAGAAGAGATATTTCACACCATGTACTACAATAATTAGATCCCACTTAATCGTAAGCATTAATAACATACCAATAATTTCAAATAAATTTTTTACTCTGCTCATCTAATCACTTTTTTCATAAGTACCATAAAATAAAAACTTACGTAAAAAATAGAACTATTTTTCTTCAGTTTAATAAACCAATAATTTTTCCGTAATTGTAATTCAACTTTCAATCTAATCATCAACATGTTAACTATACTGACAACATAGTTAAAAAAAAAGAGATCTGTCAGAAACGATGGTTGGATTACGATTAATTCTCAGTTGCATTGTACAAAATTTCGGATCGATACACAACTATTATAATGATGAGCCATAAGCCATAATGTTTTAAGTAACTTCAAAACTGTTTAAAGTTTATACGCATTGAATCATCAACAATTTATGCATTTTATAAACTTTTTGACATTACGTGGAAAAAACTTTCTTCATTGTAACTGTAAGCCTTAAGATAGAAACGCACTCGACTTTATTGTCTGTAAAAATGGCTAAAAGTAAAATGTCTGACTATAGATCGCTGTATAAGTTGACAAAGAGACTCGGAACAGTAGTAGGCGTTTGGCCGTATGAAAGTCCAAGTATTTTATATCTTCTTGTGCCGTATATACCGATGACACTGCATTTAATAATATCGCTCTTGATATTTTCGTGGGTCCGCGAGAAATTTCCAAACATCGGTCTCGTTTCAAAAGGCCTGAGCATTTCCACCAGCTTCGTGACCACCATTCTGAAGATAGCGAGCATGAAAATAAACCACAAAGAGTTGACGGAATTACACCGACATCTTCATCCGTACTTTGGGAAATTGCTGAAGGATTCAAGGCTGTCGAACATCGTTTTGAAGGACGTCGACATGTTTAAGCTTGTATCATGGTCATTGACTATTTGTGTTGCCACTTGCTTGGGGTCTTACATTCTTCTTCCCCTGAGCTTCGTCATAAAAGCTTCTGTTCATCACATAGAAGTGGCCAAGTACCCGCTTATATATCCATGCAACTATCCGTGGAAGATAACGTCCAATGGAATTGTTTACCAACTTCATTTTGTTTTTGAAACTTGCTCGGGGTTGGCGATGTTTTTTGTGTCTACTAGTGTTGACATATTGTTTCCGTTTTATATCTTTCAAATGATTGCACAATTTCGTGAAATTTCTTACGATATTACGCACATCAAAAATGATGATAAAGATGATGAAAATAATGATGACTATAATAAAGTCATAGAAAAATGTGTTGCTCAGTACGAAAGATTGATGAGATGCAAAGACATTTTGGAAAAAATTTGGGGCCCTATAATACTTTTCAGTGTTACTACTAACGCTATTGTTCTTTGCACAGTTCTGTTTCAAATTTCAAAGGTATGGAGTGATTAATGATAGTTTTTAATTGGATATTTGGAATATTTAATGTGTAATTTCAGATGAGAAGTGTAACCATTGTTCAAGGGTCATTATTGGTTGCATACGTAGGTTTGAAATTAGGACAAACCTTCATTTATGCTTGGAGTGGGTCTTGTTTAATTGAAGAGGTAAATTTTTGAGTCTTCAAAATTCAATATTTTGGAAACTAAGGAAGTTTTTATTTATGGTAGAGCGAAGTTTACAGAGATGCAGTTTATGCTGCTAATTGGTACGGAAAAAAACGACTAATGACTTCTATTGTGATGCTCCTGACCCAAAGGCCTTTATCATTAACCGCTTGTAATTTTTCAATTGTTTCTGTGAAAATTTTTATCACGGTAAGTGTCAGAAAATAAGTTCGAATAGAATTAGATTTTTTTATCTGCTACAAAACTTTTACATCTAATATATTTTTATTTTTAAACAGTTTTTGAACACAGCAGTATCTTACTTCTTTCTTTTGCAAACACTTGATGATAAGGATTAAGTATTAATTTAAAAATCGACCACTCCAATAGCAAATTCAGGAAATCAACTCTCACTTGGTTGGATTTTGAACATAATTTATAAAAACAATCTAAATTTTTAATCACCACAATTATAATAGATTTTCACAAACGTGTATTGGGTATTACATGTATTATTTACTTTATTTACGATCAATACCTATAATGCGATTAAATTTGTACCGTAACTAATCAATATAACGGATAATTCTTCAACAATCATGCATAGTCATGCACTTGCTAGTAATATTTATTCTGGTGAGTAGATAATAAATACTGATATTAAATGAATTAAATAAGCTCATTTATTTTTAAATCCTTTGAGTTAATTTCATAAAATTACGTGAAATATTGAGTCAAGCGAATCGTTTTTCAAAAATGGTATCTAAATACCTCAATAGATAAAAATCACCACTAAAGTACCATCATCTGTTACAAAAATTTATGGGCATCGTTATTTAGTGGATTATGGTGAGCAATACCATTGTCCGTAAACAGGGTGTACAAAACGAATGAGTTTGTTTGAAACAGAAAATTTACAAACTTTTAGAATTATTTTCCGATAAACAAATCTCATAGTCGACACTTTTAACCTTATATATTGTCGGTAAAGCGAACTAATCTACTAGTGCTGCCATCTTTGTACGTCACAGGTGCATACAACTTGTGCCTGGCACGCGCACTGCCGTGTCTTTGACAAAAAAAATCAACTACATTAATTATAATTTGAAATCCTTTCTCTTTTACTTTGTCTAATTTTAACCGTTGTTTTTTTCATTTTTTAAATTGAAATTAATGCAACTAAACAATAAATTATTATAAAAAAAACTTACTCAATTAGTGATAATCTTCATTTAAACGTCAAATTAATATAATGGATATTCATTATATTATATTCATACTCGTAATTATTCCTGTGGTCGAAGTAATTCAATTAAATCTCACAATACAAAAGCACAGTTGTCTTCAATCTGATCACTACTTTCAACCCTTCAACAACCTGTTGTAAACAAGCAATAAGCTTGACTGTCCACCTTGACAGTCACATTGAAACTGACGTACTAATGCGTCGTACTTTTGTGACGATCAATAGGAGAAAAATTTTAGTAAAATAAATCCCGAAAGCAATCAAAAAAATTTTTCAACTACCTGATAAAAAACGGAAAATTAAAATTAATTAAAGCTTCAGGAATTAATTAATTAACTCCTTTTAGCATTAAATCAAGATGTGTGAATAACTTTGTCTCACAATAAATACGTTATATAATATATGTATATATATATATATATATATATATATATATATATATA